TGATGTCCTCTGCTAGCGATCAGAAGTTGTTTTGTGAAATTTGCTCAGCATTCAAATGTTCTTTGAATGAATTTGTAGGAGAGAAAGTGGTCTCCCCGTCCTATTCCTCCATCTTGGCTCCTTCCTCGAAAGTCTGGAGAAGACTCTTGAGAGTCCCTTGGACTGCAAGGAGATCCAACCAGTTGATCCTAAAGGAAATCAACCCTGAATATTCATTGGAAGGACTGATCCTGAAGCTGAAAATCCAATACTTTGGACACCTGATGCAAAGAACTGACTCATTGGAAAAGAGCCTGATGCTGGGAAAGATTGAAGGCGGGAGAAGGGGACAATAGATGATGAGATGGTTGGATGACATCACCAACTCGATGGACATGAGTTTGAGTAAGCTCCAGGAGTTGGTGATGGACAGGGTGGCCTGGCATGCTGCGATTCATGGGGTCGCAAAGAGTCAGACCCAACTGAGTGACTGAACTGAACTGTAACACCTGCACAAATTTTTGTTTTGTTTTGACCACACCATGTGGCTTGGGAGATCTTAGTTCCCCAACTTGGCATTGAATCCAGGGCCACGGCAGTGAAAACACTGAGTCCTAACCTCTGGAGTGCCTGGGAAATCCCTACATTTGTAAATTTTATCTTACTGCACTTGGCAAGTGGGAAGGCCATTGTGCCAGGCCTTTGAGTTGTGCAGACAGACAGACATCTTTAACTGCCTGGGAGGGACTGTGCCCCTGGGTTTGAAGAACAGTGAGCTCTTGTGTGCAGTGAGCAGAACCCCCACTCTGGGGTTATTTTCTCAGGCACTACTAGTTTTATGGCCACGAGCATTGTTAAGACTTTGGGTGTATAAACAGTTTAAAGTAGTCCCATATTTTTCTGGAGACGATTCTAATGTTCTGATGGCAGTGGGTCAGGGCGCTGTCTCTTGTGTGAACCTGGCTCACCTCTCCGGCATCCTTTCCTCATCCCAGGGAGTGAATTCTGCAACCCAAGGACAGGAAACAGGACCCTCCCTCTGTGATTTTCTCCATATTCACATCAGAACATGAGCGGCTGTGTCCACTGGTGACACTGCTCAGGACTGTCCTGCTAGTTGGGCCTCATTTGATGCGTCGTGTCTGGTGGTCTGTTGATCTGTGTTGTTTGTGTCTTCCTGCTCCCCAGGAGACAGACATTATAACCTGCATTAAGGAGAATGAAGGTAGGGCTTCCCCCACAGCATTCTTTGCCAGAATATTCTGAGGGGGCGCACCTGCCCTTGCCTTGTGAACTTACCCTCACAGAAGCCAGAGTCTGTGGTCTCTGGACTTGGCTTGATCTCTGCTGCCTCCTGAAATCAGTTTGCAGACTGCATCTTCAACCACATTGAACTGTGTACTTGCTTCCTCTTCTCTGTTTGCTTTTCATCTCTTCCTCACCTCCCTCCCTTTTTCTCATGTTAAAAATATAATTCCCTGATACAGTGATCATGAAGGTGGTTTTCCCAGCGCGAGGCTTATCCATTGTACTCCAGATGTGCTGACCCCTGTGGTTTTCCTAAATGTGGGAAAGTCGACTGCCTAATTTGTGGTAGTGGGGGACTTTTCCCTACTAAGAAGGGAAAAAAAAGATATGTATATACATACATACATACATATATATATATATATATTTATACAGGTGTGCAGTTGCAGGGGGGATTGCTTAGGAAAAAGCCATTTCATATTCATCCTCTTCCTCATCTCCACCCTCTTTCTATGCTGGCCTTAATATGTCAAACCTGTAGCTTGATCTGGGAGAAAACAGAGAGACGAGAGAGGGCCCTCGAAAAGCAGCTGTGTGGAGGAGTGTGGGCTGCTGGAGCCCTGCGTGTCTCAGGGGAGCTTCCCCCCAGCCTGTGTGTGCAGTGTGTCTGGGCCTTTGTAGTTCAAGGACTGTTTTCTCTTTTAAGAGGGCACTTGGCCAAGTTGGGAGGGAGAGTGGGCAGCTGGTGACCACTGTCTCAGCATCCTGAAAAGTCAGCACCCTGCAGATCCCCGGCTCTCCAGCCCCAGATGTAGATACAGAGAGGGCTGGGATGGCTGATGGGGTGATTGTAAGCCAGTTCCAAAAGGACAGTTGCTGAGCCCTGAGAGTGAGGGTGGACATGACCTGAAAACGTTATTGTGGTTCCCACCTGTGTGGCAGCCTCTTCCAGACAGAGGTCGTTCTACACGAACAAGACCATCGCCATTTCCAGTACCGAAGCCATAATGAAGCTATGGCTTCATCTACTCACACATGTGCCTCAGCTTCCGAATTAGCAGATATGACTTAGGGACACGTCATCAATCTATGACGAGATATGTTTTATGAGCATCGCTGTAAATGTGTGGGCCTGGGTTTGACTTGTGGCACCTCTGGTTTAAAAACAAAGGAAAGTGGCTTTGTTTCCAGGTGCAGGCACCTTAACCCTGTCCCCAGATGCAGGCACTGTGCTGCAGGCGCCGTCTGAGTACGCCCTCCCAGCCCCTTCTGGATGAGCCTCTGCAGACAGCATCTTGCTGACACCTTTTAGTTCATTTATCCAAACCTTCATTCAAAGTGAGGCATCCCTCATGGGAATGACTTGAAAGCTGCATGCTTAATTGGCTTCCGTGGCTCTTGGGGATTATTATCCTACTAACCTGAGCTCCTAGTGCCCCTGCTCCCTGACCACCCCCTCCATCTGCACTTAAACAGCTGAGTCCAGTTGCCACCTTATTAGTTTATTGATGTGAGGAAAAACACCTCATTATCAGAGCACCCTGAGAAGTAGGCCAGCGTGGGAGAGAGGAGGTCAGGGCTCCAGGCTGCAGTAAACAGCAGATTCTGTCTGCAAAATCACCCTGCCCCTGAGAGAGTTTCACACTGGGCGTGCCCCCAAGCCAGCAGTGCCCTGCAGAGCTAGAGAGGTTTTGCAGTGTGTAACTTTTCTCCTTTTATTCTCAGAAACTCAGATCTTAAAATTCCAGCCCTCTCTACTTCTTGAATGGCCTTTATCCCCTAGAGTGGAACATGCTGGGAGCTGATGAAATTCAGCATCTCCCTGTAAACATGTTACCCTAAATCACCAAGTGGTTTTTCTGGGTATTGATCCAGGAAGCTCAGTGAGCAGTATGACCACATTCTGTGGGTTGCTTTCCAAGAACAAGAGCATCCGTGATTTATGAGTCACATTCCCGTGTTCAGATTGCACTTCCATGTGTCAGATGTTTCATCTGATTCCACCAGTTGAGCAAAGATTTCTCAAATGTCACTGGGGTCCCACACCTGCAAAGAGGGAGGACCTGGGCATGAAGCCTGTTTCTTTGCCTCTTTCTCTTACTGGGCGCCTCCCTGGATGTCAATTCCTGAATGTCTGAGGCACAGTTGTTTAAGTCCCTTGAAGAGCCAGCACCTGCAGAAACGCCTCCCAAGTCAGCCAGCCTGGTATAGAAGCAGGGTTTCTGATGACCCCACTGCCTCAGGGCCAGTTCCTTTCCCTGAGATTTAGATTCCTTGCTTCTTGGTACCACCTGGAGCCCCTTCTGCTCACATACCTGTTTCCGTGTCTCCCAACTCGTCCTTCATGCTCCAGATCACCTTCCCCTCCACCCTGTGGCCATGGGCTCCCACCCAGTACGTGCATGACTTTTGATCTAGGAGTTCAGCCTGGCTTGCCTCCTCCTGGTAGCTCCACTATGTGTTTCTGAGGTGCCTTGATGCAGTGTACCCCAAATCCAACTCCTTGCCCTCTCAGTCTCTGATGACACGGCCCCCACCTCTCCCGCCTCTTTAGTGGTCTCGCCAAGCAGTCGGATTGCCCAGCTCCTCCCTCCCAGATCCCTCTAAAACGATCTTAAGTCTCCAGGGTCCTCCCCACCACCTCTGACCCTGCTGCACATGGTCACCACCCCCAGTTTGACTTTCCAGCTCACCCTCCACTGCAGCTACCAGAGTGATTCTTCAACCTGCAGCTCAACAGTCTTCTCCCTCCCATTCCCAATGCCCTCTGGTGTCTTCAAGACCCCATTCATGAAGCAGTCAAAGCTCTCTGCCTCCAGCCTTCCCTGGCCGCCTTCTCCCTGGTTGCATATCCTAGCAGGATTTCCACCTGTTTTCCCACCTTCCACCCCCACTCTCACATCTGTCCTTCCTTCATGGATGATCCCAGCTACTCCACCCCTCCCAGAGCTTCCCAAGCCCAGCGTCTCATCATGAGCCAGAACTTCTCAGTTGTCTCCTCCAGGACTATGAGCAGGGTGTGGGGGTCTGTGTCCAGGACTGAGCCAGTGCTTGACACCTAGTGGGTCTTGAAAACTATGCTAACACATGACACGGTGGTGCTTACACATGCCATATGCTCTGAGGAGGTGGCGAGACTTGCACACCTGGCAACCCACTTACCCCTGAAATCAAACTTTCCATTTGGAGCTACTTCTTTGGAAACAGGCCTCTAGGAAGCACCTGTTGGAATATAACCGTGTGATGTAAGTAATTCATAATTATGGTGTTTACATAGATTTTGTCAGGCTAAGCAAAGGTGTATGTATGACAAGCTCTGGTAGGGTCTGGGGTCTGCAGAAACTGAGTGGTTTCAGGTGTTGGGCACGTCCCCGCTCAGAAGTTGTAGGAGAGGTGCATGGGCCCTGGGCTGACTCAGGAGAGAGGACAGGTATGGGAGCTGTGGGACGCAGACAGCCTCCGAAGGAGCCAGCCCAGCAGCCAGGGTACCCGCACCCACCAGGTACCCAGAAGGGGTTTTCTAGAACGCCTCAGAGCCGCTGCACTTCTGAGAGTGTGTGCGATGCCAGCCCTTTTCCCACAGCCAAGGGAAAATGCATTTGTACACAGCCGTCACAGCTATTTTTTCAGATGAAAATTGGACTTGAGAGGTGAAAATGATGAAGACATAAAATATTCATTGCACATTCGTTTGTTCACACATTCCAAGAAGAAAAAGGAGCCCCTTCCTGGGAACTGCACTCACTTGTTTCTCCTGTGTCTCTCCCCCCCAGTCATGCCAAGCTGACCTGGTGAAGGACAACGGCCACAAGTACTTCCTTTCAGTCTTGGCAGACCCGTACATGCCAGTAAGGACCAGCATGTTATGCTCTGGGACACGTTTCCTGGGGGCTCTGGGAAAGGTTGCTGTACACAGAGGGACCTGTGGTGGAAGTGGGGAGCCCCTTACACTCCCAGCTCTGCCTCACTTGGATGATACCTTTTGCTTCCTGGCCTATTATTTCAGTAGCTGCTTCCCTAAAGTAAATCACAGTGAACTTTGGTACACAGGCTGGTTTGGTTTTGTTTACTTGAGTCCTTTTTCTGGGCACATCTTTGCAGTGAGGTAGAATCCACTGTGCCTTGTACCCTGTCAACCAAGTTAGATCAATGACTACTTGTACATCCATAATATTGGCAGTTCCTTTGCCCAGTGCAGGATCTGGACCTAAGGGGAGGTTAATGCACTTTATAAATCAGCAAGGGGGTTAGGGCAGTGGAGGTGGTGGAAAAATTGAAAGTTGAAATTTGAAATATATTTTATTGTATTAAGTTGTTTAAAAATTAGTAATCCATGAATATCATATAAAATAACTCCCAATAAATGTTTTTAAATTAATATTTATGTTCCCTCCCTCTAGCTCCTAGCTTAGTAAAGAGAATAAAATAAACACCTTAAGTATCAATAATTACTCAATATAACTTAATTTTATCAGAATGTTTAATGAAATCTAACAGCTCATTCACACAGTCATAGGTGCCCCTGGTTGTGGAAAGGAACTTTGGGGTGTAGTTTCACCCTCTGGTTGGTTTTCTAAACTAAATGACAATTTAAAAAAAAAAACAAAAATTTTCTAAAATCCAGGAAACATTAAAAACAGGATTGTTATAAAAGGTAAGCAGAATTCGTATGTTCCAACTGAAGTATGGTATTTAAACATCATCGAAGGTGGTTAAATTTAGACTTTATATGAGTATTGGAAATAATACAGAGTGAGTAAGAAAGGTCAAATGACTAAGACATCTAAGCTGATAGGCAGTAAAATGATGAACAAAGTTGGCACAATGGGCCCCACTTCAAAACTACAAACACATGAAGTTTTGAGGATCTAGCCAGATTGAAAGAAAGGAAATTAAATCCACAAATGCCAAAACCTGAAGTCAGGGGAGGGGCACAGTGAGTCATGGGTGAACCTCACAATGACCGTGGAGCTCCACATGTGTGCAGCCCAAGTCTGCACAAAAAAAACACAGGCTTGTGGGGTGAGCTGCCCACTCACTGGACGAGGACAAGAAGAGCTAATCCACTCCATCCACGTCTGGGCAGAAAGTCAGGAAAAGCCTCTGTAAGAAATGGAAATTCCCCATGTGGGAGGAGCCACCAGCCAAGTGAGGAACATGAAATCTCCAGGGCCTGCCTGGAAGTGGCGAAGGCTGTACCTTTTCTGCAGAGCACCTTTCTGTATACCTTCACAGCCAGGGCACCAAGACTCATGCCAGGAGCTCCAGCCTGCTCCTAGCCCAGGTCCAAGTGATGTAAGCAGAGCTGGCAGAAAGGAGGGTTAGCTCCCAGAGAGCTTAAACTAATAGAGTTCTCTGGAAAAAGAGTGAAGAGCATTACAAATAAGTATGTTTAAGATAACTGGATAAACAATTTGTTTTAATTGTGTCCAAAAATAAACCCTGGTGTTTTTTTCCTCAGAAGTACTTTCTTGCCTGTTGTAAGAGAATAGTGTATTCTGTCCTGTTTACTCCTTCTCGAAAAATGACCAACTAGGGTCTTTTAATAAATAGGCAGATTTTGGAGGCGAAAAAAAGAACCTGTAATGGAATATAGTCATTAGAAGCTCCATAGACAAATTAAACAGCAGAATTGACACAACCAGTAAAGAAGTCTGTGGAGAATTCATGTGGGAGGAAGCAAAGAGGAGACGTGACGGAGGCTCTGAGAGGGGCTGAGCAGGCCAGCTGCGTTAAACAAAGGCCAGAGGGAGACAGGAGGCCGCACAGTTCAGTGGAGAACTTTCCAGATTTGAAGAAGAAATGGGTTTTCAGCTTTATAAAGCACAATGAGTCTTGAGAGGGTTCAGTAAAAACAGTTCCACACAAAGACTCATCGTAATGAAAGTAGAGAATGTCAAAGGCAAGAGTAAAAATCTCTAAAGTAACTAGGATGTGAAGGAAGATGGTTGCAAAGATGTGGACAGCAGTCACCACAGTAACGGATGGAAGACAGAGAAGGGGCCCTCAAAACACAAGGGAAACTGTCACCCAGGGACCCTGTGTCCCCATGAGTGTCAGTTTGAGAGAGGGCAAAGCCAGCACATCTGAGGGCCAACAGCTTCTCAGGCAGCCAGGAGGCCCGCACTTCAGGAGGAGATGGAGCCCAGAAGTCAGTAAGAAGCATCAGAAAGCAGACATTGGCAAACATGCCATGTATGTAAATCAACATTGGCTGTAAGAATAAGTAAGAGCAGTCACGCATGAGGGACTGAAGCTGGAGGAGGAATACTGGGAATCCAAGGCAGATACAGAGAATGACTAGACTTTGCTCCAGGTTGAAAACACAAGGTACCACAAATAGTTAAAAATAGACTGATGTCTGAGTCAGTAGAAGTGCAGAGGAGAGGAGAAAATGAGAATCGATCCGCCCACTAGAAGACCAGAAAGAAGGGAAAATGAAGTCAAGTAGAGACTGTGGTCAATCATTTTATGACCAGTGTGCTCAACTCTGATGGTCTGCTTCCATAGGCTTGGGCAGAACAGGGCCTCTGATGGAACAGAGTCACCTGTCATGCAGCATCAGATGTCAGGGACCCATCCGTCCTCCATGAGGCCAACCCTGAACCATCAGACCGTCTTTAAAGCGCAGTTCCTATTTGGAGACTCAAAAGACAACAAAGCTGGCTCTCGTTACTTTTAACTACAGACCAGGCTCATCATAAAGATACTGAAAGGATAACTCTAGTGCGTGGGGGTGATGAGTTTCTGCCACAAAGAAAGTGCGAACTAGCCTGTGACTTCTGTTTTCCAGGCTGAGCATCGGACCATGACGGCCTTCATTCTGGCTGTAATCGTCAACAGCTATAACACAGGGCAGGTCAGTGTCACGCCCCTTCCCCACTCCTGCAGGGCCTACCTTTGGGTTGCAAATGCACAGCTGTGAGCTCCAGGATTTGGAGGCCAGAGGAACTGTCCTGAATGTATGTCTATAGAAACAGTGACCTCAGAAGTGGGTTGGGGGAGGTTGGGGATCACACCAGCCCTGGGGGCTTCATGGAGGAGTGGGGGTCCGGACCCTTTGTTTAGCCCCAGTTGAATTGAAATTGGTGGGATTTAAAATGAGGAAAATTGAGGAACGTCCCCAGCAGTCCAGAGGTTAAGAATCCGAGCTTCCTCTGCAGGGTGCATGGGTTCAATCCTTGCTCCAGGAACTAAGATCCCACATGGCACAGCACAGAAAAAAAAGAGGAAAGTTGAACACATCTTGCAAAGTAATTAAGCATGGTTTCTCTGAGAAACCTGGGGGGCTAGGGCCAGCCCAGGACACTGCCCCAGTCAGTGGTCGGTGGGTGATGCCCTGTGTTGCCTGCCTTCTTGCAGGAAGCCTGCCTCCAGGGAAACCTGATCGCCATCTGCCTGGAGCAGCTCAACGACCCCCACCCACTGCTGCGCCAGTGGGTGGCCATCTGCCTGGGCCGCATCTGGCAGAACTTTGACTCAGCCCGGTGGTGTGGGGTGCGGGACAGTGCCCACGAGAAGCTCTGCAGCCTCCTCTCTGACCCCATCCCTGAGGTGAGTCTGTAACCCCGCCACTTCAGGCTGAGTGAGGTCAGGGTGCACCTGGGAACCACACCACCAGAGCGCCCCCCCCACCCACCCCCCCTGTGGGTTCCTTGGCCCCTGGCTTGGTCTCTGATGCCTGCCTGGCTTGGTCTCTGATGCCTGCACACAGCCTGTCACCTGGCCCTTGGGCATGGCTGCCACTAGCCTCTCATTTCCCTGCTCTGCTTGTCTGCACAAGTGGAGCTAGGCTGAAAGGACCATAGACAGGACTACGCTGCATCTAGTAGGCTCCAGGGGCCCCGGCCAGAGCCAAACAGCCGGCCACAGGGTAACTGCTCCCTGTCCTGCCCACAGGTGCGCTGCGCAGCCGTCTTTGCCCTCGGCACGTTTGTGGGCAACTCTGCAGAGAGGACGGACCACTCCACCACTATTGACCACAACGTGGCCATGATGCTGGCCCAGCTCATCAATGATGGCAGCCCTGTGGTCCGGAAGGTGCGTGGCCCCCACCCCTAGGCAGCGCCAAGCGCCTCCAGGCCGGGCTCCCTTGGCGCCCAGGTCGAGTCGTCACCTTGACCTGACCGCAGCTTCAAGCGCTCAGTCTGCCCCCAGCGCCCATCCTGCCGAGAGCCGACTTTAAATGTTTGTTTAATTCTCTCCAAAATGCATTTCTTCACCAGATACTCGTGTGTTTGCTTCATTTAAAGGCATTTAACAGGCTGCGTCTCCTGGCAGCTTGTATAATAGGCTCCTTCCTGCCTGGGAGCAACACATACACACATCACGGAGATTCAAAAGAGCAGTAGCCACCCACAGACAGACGGAAAGGTTTGTGTAGTGTATTCCCCTCCCCGCCCCCATGTTTGTCAGCGACTGAACGGAACAGTTCTTTGCAGTTGAAACTTTTACTTCTCTGTTTCAATGTACAAGGGCCATGATCTCCATCCAAGACCTCACCCCCCTGTCAAAAGTTGGCTCAGAACAGATCAACCCTCTCCCTCCCACAGCCAAAAGGGCCCGTGGGGGGAACCCCACTGTCGGCCACGTTTCAGGGTGGCCTTGGAGGCCCACCCTGGGAGCAGAGACTTCTCTAGGACCAGGAGGGCAGTGCTGTCCTGTTTGTGACCCTGAGTCACCTCTCATCATCTACAGGTGCTGGGCTGCTTCTCGGCATGTCTGACATCCCTGTGCCAGAGAAGGGAGGTTGGGTTTCTCAGAGGTAGGGGTGGTTTGGAGGGTGTCTGTTTGGAGAGCAAACCTCCACTAACTTGGTGGCGGGAACATTATCGGGGCAAGTTCAGGTCAAGCGGGAAGGACTCATTCCATCTTGAGTTCCCTCAAAGAGCCATGAACCCAGTTACTAATAGGCCAGGTCATCTAGAGAAACGTTAACAATGTGGAATGATCCTCGAGGTGCCTTTTCATGTTTTTGTTTTGGGTTCTCATCATTAGCATCTGTCTGAAGCTGGCTTCCTTGAGTCAGAGTCTTCTTTTTCCCAAGTCAGATTGCCTGTATGTGATCAAAGCAGCAGTTCAGCAGTATCCTTAATTGTCTGTTAAGGTTCCTTTTAAAGAAAGGAACTCTTTTTCAGTTCTTTCCCCAAAAAACTTTACAAGGATGTTAATAAAAATAGGAAGAATGTCCATCTGAGTCTCCAGTATCAGGAGAATGGTCTCCAGGTCATCAGGAACACAAGGACTGAACACTCAAGCACATCCCAGGTGACCTGACATGGCCCCAGGCTCCTTTCCCAGCCTCACTCCACTCACCATCCTTCCCCAGACCTGAGATGCTCAGGTGTAGCCAGGTCATTCCTGTGGGCGCTTGGGGTTGGCCTTGCCTGGGCCTGCAGACATGGGTGCTGAGAAGAGCTCTGCCTTTGCTCGCCCAGCACTGGAGCTCAGCTCGCAGCTGCCTCAGCACATCAGGCTCAGTGCATGGAGCAGCAGTTACCCACCTTCACGAGATACAGGGTCCGAGTGCAGAGGCAGGCACAGAACCAGCAATTGTGCTAAAACCCTCGTAAGTGAGCCACACCTTAGAGACCAGCCCAGGTCAGGGGTGCTGGCTCCATAGTGGGAGGAGAGGAGCCTGTGCCTAGGTTGTGAGGGACAAGGGACAGGGAGAGGGAGTGAGGCAGGAGCGTGTGCAAAGGGCCAGGCACGTGCAAGACCATAGTGTGCCCAGGGCTGCCCATCCTGTGCACTAGAGCACAGAGCATCCTCGGCATCCCAGGTCCTCTGTTGGGACTCGGGACCGTCACTGCCTTCAGGGCTTTTTCTCTTTGGGAGATGGCCAGCAACGCAGGCCCATTAAATAAGGGGGCTACTTTGCTGTGGAAACATGGGCGACACGGAGGTTCAGGGAGACTGGGGCCCATGGGTTGGAGAGAGGATCCAGGCTTTAATAGGGTGAGTGACACCGACTCAGAGGCTGAGCCCTCATTCCCATCACAGCTGTAACCCTAATGCTTTTGGCAGCTTGCCTTTCCCATCTTTGTCCAGAGCACGTGGTGACAGTTGTGCCCAATGCACTCTGAGGGGACACAGGCCCAGCCTGCAGGCCCAGCAGACCCAGTGCTAGGGCACCTGAGGGTCTGGAACAGGACTCTGCCTTGAGCACTGCACTCCACGATCTCACCTGAGCTTAGGTGTGAGAAGTCCCAGGTGTAACCAACTGCTGGTGTCTCTAGCTCATGGCAATACAAGACATGTCAGGGTATCATGGCGGGGCTTCGTAAAGTCACATGTCTGCAATATAAAATAATTGCCCTGTTGACTCCTGAACGATGAAAGCATCCTTTTCTGGAGGAGGCAGTCATGGCAGAGAGGGAAGATTTTTGCTTGTTGACCTCTTTAATGAGCTTACTTGATAAAATCAAGAGTCAGCAAGTTCACCCAAATTATTTTGAACTTGAACTTGTGCACGAAGTACAGGATGGCAGATTGCCCAGTCAGCAAGCCGCCCACACCTCATCAAGAAGGACCAGGACCCAGAGTGGGGGGGGTGGGGAGGGGGAGGTTTGTGACCACCCCACTGTCACCCTGCTTTTCTCAAGGGCTGACCAGTCCAGTCCTGCAACCCTTGCCTGCAGCTGACTGGGTGCTGTCCACCTTAGCAAAGAAAGAAGATTGCATCCATTTTCTCTAGTTTACATTTATTTAGTAACCACAGACCCACAGAGGAGCAGTTCCTGGCATCCACCTCCCTCCACACACATCTGACTCCAACTGACCTGATGAATGGCGTCAGAGGGTGTTTCCCATCAATGTTCAGGACATCTCTGGTGGCGGCGACAAGACGGCTGAGCCACCCGGACTGGAATGCCTTCTCCCACAGGCGAGCCCAGAGGCCATCTAGTTGGAGCAGACGGGCTCCCTTTCCCACAGCGCCGCCCTGGCTGCCTGGGAGCTGAGCTTGATACTTGGTGGCCATGGGCTGAAAACAAATGTCAGCCAGTAATTCATTGTTGGAAACATGGAGAAGGGGCAGCCCTTGGGGACCACCTGGGAAGACGTGTGGTCCAGTCTTCCGGGCCACCACAGGAGGAGTGTTAGCCAACTCCCCTCAGGCCATGTTTGTAACCATGATGTCCCTGAATCCTGATGACAAGTCACCCAAACAGTTGAACCGTATGTTAAAGATTATGCTGTGTCTGAAGGGAAGAGGCTTCATTCCATCAGCAGATACTTGTTAAACGCCGCCTGTGGGCCAAGCCCTAGGTAACCAGACTTCCAGTACTTGCACTTGGATATGGCGGAGGGTGGAAACCTCCAGAACTTGCACTTGGAGACAGGAGTGAAGGTAGAGAACAGGTATCCCCGGTGGAGGTGGAGGCCTGTCCAGGCCAAGTGGACAGCAGGTGCCAAGGCGCAGGGCAGGAGGCCTGCTTGCTCCCAGTGTGAGCAGGAGGCTGGAGTGTGGAGGTGGCGGGACCGCTCTGCCGGGAAACAGGGTAAGGCTGCTGGCCGGAGGGGCTCGAGTAACCATGCTGGTATGCTTCTGAGGTCTGAGAATAACTCCAGCCTTCCACCCAACCTCGCTCTGGCCAGACATGCCTGAAGACCTCTGAAGGTTGGAGCCCACGGCCACCTCCCAGCAGGAGGAGTTTGACCAGCCCTCACAGCTTCCCCCAGATCAAACGGTCTAAGACCTAGGAATCTGCTTCCAGTACAGCTGAGACGTTTTTACCAATTCAGAGTGAAGGGAAAACCTGTGTCTTTTGAAGACAGTTCAAGCTTCTTCCTGAAGTAGGAAATGGCAACTCGGCCTGTATTCTTGCCTGGAAAATTCCATGGACAAGGAAGCCTGGTGGGCTACAGTCTATGGGGTCGCAAAGAGTCAGACATGACTGAGCACTCATGCGGGCAGGCTGCTTCTTCACTGGGAGGGGCCGGTGGGCAACCCCTCGACAGCCTGTTACCCAGCACTGTTAGACTCAGGGACAGGCTGGTTGGGTGACAGGATCGGCAGAGAGAAAGATGGGTCAAGATGATTCAAGGGTCTCCTGAAGCCACCAGAGGGCACAAGCCAAGTGTCCCTGGCAGGGGCTGAATGGAAAGGGTTGGGTAGCAGGCCCTGGGCAGGTCAAGTTGGGTTTTAGAGTGCTTGGTGGGCATGCATGGTCAGCAGTTGGAAGGACCAGCCTGGGTCTCAGAGACAGGATCAGAGAGGTGGGTTTGGGAGTAAACCCACACACACGCCGGGGAGGCCAATGAATATGTAAGGGTGAGATAGGAGAGAAGGGGGGGTCCATCCTAGCTTGTTGACACCTCAGCACAGCTCTCCTGGCCCTGGGTGTCTGAAGAATTCACAGAACAATAGGGGCTCTCAGAATTTGGCCTTCTGCTAAGTATTTTTCTAAAAAGTAAAATAAAGTTGTGGGAACCATTTGAATAGTGATAGGAAAAGTAGTGCAAACCTATATCCAGTTTTATTTCCCGTGATTTTTAGGATCTCCAGGTCATCAGGTCCCAAAAGAGATCAGGTGTGTTCTTCCCCTTGGACTGAGGCATCTGGGCTTGAAGTCATGTAGAACTTCCCTGTTGCCTTTTGGGGACTGGAAACCAGTTTATCTTTGGAGACTTTACACTTAGTAAGGGAACGTGCTGTACTGCTCAGCACGTCCTGCTTTAATGCCCGGAGCTCTCTGTGGTGTTGACCATAGGAGGCCCTGAGGGCTCTTCCCTGTCCCACTCTGGGGTGTCCTCCCCCTATATCCCTACCAGGCCCCCCAGTCCTGCTGCTCACACCCAGCAGTCAGCAGTCTCTCCTCCAGGTGTCCAGGGTGTCCCTCAGAGGCCCTCATCTTCACCTCACTGCTTGTTCAGAGGTTTCTGCCCACACCGGACACTTGAGGGTGCTGTGTTGAGGGGCCAGCCCCCGTCTCAGCACCGAGTGCCGTCTGTCCCCCACCCCACCCCTGCCTTTTCTCCGTGGTGGCTTGAGCGCTCAGTGCCAACATGCACGTCTCACTGCTGAGTTCTCTCCCCACCTCAAATCATTGTCGCTGTCTCTTCTCCTCCCGGCAGGAGCTGGTGGTGGCTCTGAGTCACCTTGTCGTTCAGTATGAAAGTAATTTCTGCACCGTGGCCCTGCAGTTCATGGAAGAGGAGAAGAACTACCCGCTGCCCTCTCCAGCCACCACAGGTAGGACCACCGCAGGTATGATGCTGAGGTGGAGCCCGTGCAACTCACTGGCCCTGGGGCCCCAGTCTGAACTGTCAGCAGGCCCCTCGTTCTGCTGGGTCCTGAGCCCTTGTGTCAAGTCCTGGCCACACAGATATCTGCAGTTCTTGTCTTCTCAGAAGAATAGAAAGGGCAAGAAAGAAGGCCCCCTTGACCCCCTGGTTTCTTTCCTTTTTACCCTTTTGGAAATCAAGTCACACAAACCTCGAAGGGTAGGAGCTGCTGCCGTAGGGACTGAAGGACGCACTTTCTTCCCGTCACAGGTCTCACGTCAGTGTTGCGTTAGGCAGCTCCTCATCTCACATTTACTGAATTTATATTTCTTCATCTTGGGCTGCCCCCTCCCCCAGAGCACAGCCATCTCTGCAGAAAAGAGGCCTTGTGATCAGCCATGTGACCATTGCTGGTTTAGTACATCAGGGAAGGAAACGGCCGGCATGCCCTGGTGAGGGGCAGTGCAGGGGAGGCTGAGCCAGCAGACACTGTCCCAGCACTGCCCCCACTCTGGCTCTGTTTTGGTTTGGGGACAGCAGCTGCAGGCAGGTCCCAGAGCACCTGGTGCGAGTCTTGGGGAGACCACTGTGTGTGGGCCCCTGTAGTTGAACTCTCACAAAATGCCAAGCATGGCTCATGGTCACCTGCTCCCGCTCCCCTCACTGTGGTCATGACCTTGTCCACCTGACCCTGACACACATCTGGCAGAGACCCTGTTGAGCTGAAGGGCCCTGCTGTAGAGTCACATCATCCTGGTAGAACCCGCTGTCACCTTCTGTCTAGCCGCCTGCGGCCTGAGCCCTCCATTCAGTCTTCTCACTCCTTCTCTCTTCCCAGAGGGTGGGAGTCTGACCCCCGTGCGGGACAGCCCCTGCACCCCCAGACTGCGCTCCGTGAGCTCCTATGGGAATATCCGTGCCGTCACCACGGCTAGAAACTTAAACAAGTCTTTGCAAAACCTGAGCCTGACGGAAGAAAGTAAGAGCCCAGAGGCTGGGTGCTCAAGTGGGGTGGTCATGGGTCATCTTCTGGGACCTTTTGTTAGATGGGCCCCCACCCCTCCTGCCTACCTGGACGTGAGCAGAAGTCCTGGTTCACTACCAGGGGTGGCCAGTGATTGTCCTGCAGCCCCACTGGGCACGCCCAGTCCTAAGCCCCCAGCACCCTTCCCCAGCCCTGTGCCTGGAAGCCAAGCCCCTCCTGTGGGCCAGGAGATGGGGTGGGTGTGTGCTAACTGCCCCCTCTCACGGCGGTGCCCTGCCAGCCGGCGGCTCAGTGGCCTTCTCCCCCGGGAACCTGAGCACAAGCAGCAGCGCCAGCAGCACCCTGGGCAGCCCCGAGAATGAGGAGTACATCCTGTCCTTCGAGACCATCGACAAGATGCGCCGAGTCAGCTCCTACTCCTCCCTCAACTCCCTCATCGGTGAGTCCCACCTCCCCCTCTCCACTGGTCCCCTGGGCACCGCTGGGTTCCCGCCTAGGTGGGCAGTGCTGGGACACGCTCAGTGGGAGGAGGGAGTAAGGCTTATCTTGCTGTGGCAGCAGGAACCTCACCCTTGGACGCTGGTCGGACCCAGGTCGTCCAGGGAGCCAGCCTTGTCCTTGGGCAGGCCGCAGGACTCCCGGGACTGCAGAGCAGGATGGTTCTGCCCTCAGGAGACATTTGGAGTGTCATGGCCAGAGCAGGGGGCGCTCCCAGCATCTGATAGGTAGTGTGGCCTCTGATGGCACCCAGGGCCCCCCCAGAGAAGGCATGTGTGAGGTCCAAGGTCAGAGCTCTGCTCCCAGGGCACAGACAGCCCTTCCCTACTCAAGTTCCCTGGCCAGAACCTCCCTCCCACCAGCCAAGGACCCCCCTCTGTGCTTTCACCTTCAGTCAGTCCAGCAGTTTCCTACTTGCCTGCCTGGACATTGACATTTGAGCAAAGGCTCGGGGTGGTCTTGTGTTCTGCCTTGAGTGGGGACCCCCTGGTTCTGCTGCTACGCTCACTGAGAAATGGGAAGGTAGCCCATATCCTCACTGCATAGCCAGCCGTAAAGCCTCGGACCGGTGCGTCACACCCCACATGTGTGTTTTGTTACCAACTTAAGGGGTTATAGACCAAGTTAAAGAACCCAGAGCCCCTCCCCTCCCTGTGCAGGGTTCCCACGGACTCTTAAACGTCACGTCAATGGCACCGCACGTCCCCTGTCCTCACTCTGCTCTGACAGCTGTGTGTCCATGCCGCTCACCTGAGTCTTGTTTGCTCCCTTTCATGATCTACTGCAATTCGCTCGTCCATTCTGCTGTTGGTGGACAGTGACTTTACTCTGACTTTTCCTTCTTTCCTCCTTTTTCAAAAAGCAGACTCAGGATTTTTGGCCCCGGCTCTGCCTCCTGCCCTCCCCACTGTACCTGGTGATGCTGGGCTCCTTGGCCCCTGGGCGCCTCCCCTTGGCTGGAGAGCTTTGCCTCCAGCTACCTCACGGGCTGCTCCTCAGTCCAGTCACTTCAAAAGAAGCTTTCCAGGCTCCCCCGACCCCAACCCAGAATTGCTCTCTGCAGTCACTCTGCATCTCTCTCCATCTCTCTGCTTTCCTCCTGAGAACTTTTCCCCGGCAGACTTACGATGTATATTCCCGTTTATTCTGCCTGGTTCTGTCTCTGACCAGGGATGTCAGAATCACAAGTGAAGGAACTCTGTCACCTGCCATAGCCCCACCCCCACCCCCACATCCCATGCCGGGTGTACAGTAAGTACCCATAACATGCACAGGCGTGGGCTTCAGCAGACACCCTGCAGTGTGACACAGGTGGTGTCTGGCTCCATGCAGAAGGAGACTGACCTCAGAGGGCTCCGTTCCAAGGCGGACAAGCTCCTGTGCCCCCCCCCCCCCCCTGCCGCCGACTCCTGGTCCAGTCAGGCTTCCCCATCTTATGTGAGCAAGCAGACTCCTCGTGGTGTTGATTTGCACATCCCTCAATTACAATGAGGTTGAGCTCATGTGTTCATTAGCCTCCCCTGCTCCCACACACACCCTCCTGATTGGTTGGTACTGTTTTCATTAGTGTTCAGTTCTTGGTGGTTTGCTTGTTTCCATATTACTCTCTCTGCCTCTTGGCATCACATGACAGTGTTTGATGTTTCTGACTCACCAGTGTCGTGATCTGAAGGGGCAGTTCAGTTCAGTTCAGTCACTCAGTCGTGTCCGACTCTTTGCCATCCCATGAATCGCAGCATGCAAACAGGCCTCCCTGTCCATTGCCAACTCCTGGAGTTTACTCAAACTCATGTCCATCGAGTCAGTGATGGCATCCAGCCATCTCATCCTCTGTCGTCCCCTTCTCCTCCTGCCCCCAATCCCTCCCAGCATCTGAAGGGGCAGGGCAGTCCAAATGTGCTTGCCATCAGAAGACATGAGACCAGTCTTCTGCTGGCCCTAGAAAGGACTCAGGACTAATTCTACAAGATGTGTCTCCCTGGGGCCCATAAGAGTCTAGTGACTGTAGGGTCCAGAGCTAGTTGGTACCACCACGCCACCCACTGCAGTACAGCCCAGAAAGGGGGATCCTTTTGTCCTTGGTGCTAGCTTGGGGGTGTAAGGGGTGAAGTGTCAGTGTTTCATTTGAGGCCACATGAGCTCAGAGGGCACAGCCCAGCCCTCCCACCCCAGCCACATTCCGTGTCCTCCAGGAACTTGAGAGCCTCATCACTGTTTTCCTCTGCGCAAAACCTGGTTCCTGAACATTTTTTACTGGAGAAAACTGAATTTTATCTGTATATGGTTCAGATCTTTGAAAACTTCAGTGGGCAAGTTTCACAATGAGCTGGAGCTGGAAGGAACGCTAAGAAGAAGTAACTGTGGGCCAGAGCGGATGTCCACCTGGAAACGTGGTGCTTACATAGTGTTTAAAATTCATAACCTACACAAAATCCCCTTACTGGTAGCATTCGCCTGTTTAAAGCCAATTTTTTTCTTTCATTTCAACCAAAGAACAATCTCTTTAGCAATCTCTTTAGCCTCTTTGACTGAATATTGGAAAAGAGGTTTTCAAAACCATGGCAACCTAGGACGTCCACTTATTACCATCTTCTCCCAGAAGACTAGCCCCTTCCAGGCTCCCCCTTCCCCCCACTGTCTCCAGAGCACTCAAGGTCTCACCTGCTGAGGGAAGTGCTGTCCCCCCACTGCGGCAAAGGCTGATCGCACGTGTCTCCACATGCCTGAGCGTGTCTGCCCAGCGACTGTGAGTCTGCACTGAGACTTGACTGTGTCACCACCTTCTGAAATCTTCTTTGGTGTCTCCCTCTGTGTGTGCCTCACCCACTCAGCCATTTAGCCCGAACTCTGCGTGTGTCCCCAGTCAGTTCTTTCCATTTCTGGGCCCCCCACTCCAGGACTGGGCATCAGCTTCTCGCTCCCCAGCACCCGTGCAGAGCAGACACCCCCCACACCATCATTCGCTCTGCACTGACCACCATCCAGCTGACACCATCACAGAAACTCATTTCCTATAAAGTCCAAGCTGTGGCCAGCACTCAAGGCCTTCCTACTGAGAGCTGCCTGGCCTTCACCGTAGCCCCGCCCACTGCACGCACCACCCAGACCAGCCGCTGTCCCCTATGTGGGGCCTGGGCACCTCTGCCTTTACTCCCCTCCCGCACCCCCTCTCCACACAGCAGTGTTGCCCATTCCTCTCCACCCTGACTTTCTGTGGCGTCTCAGGAGGTCCCTGACCCATCAAGTGCCTTCACGTTACACATTTAACCTGCAGCATCACGTCAGGCTATGACATTGCTGTCTTAATCAACAGGTTTGGTAAAGCTGCTATTTCTTGCCCTCCTGTGTGGCGGGCAGCCTCTCCTCCCTTCATCACCTGCCCTGCTTTCCCTCACCTGTCCACCCGTTGCCCTTCTGTCCCTCTCTCCCTCCCTCCATCTCTCCCTCCCTCTCTGAGCCTCACCCCATTCCGATGTCCAGAGTGGGGACGGGAAGGCCTCGTGCTGTTTTCTCACCTTGGCCCTCAGGTGAGATGGGGTGGGGGGAGCCTTCTGAAAGAGTTGTATAGATGCATTGCCCAGTCTACCCAGGGCTCCGTCCAGTAAGCAAGGGAGAGGTGGGCAGGATCCTCCCAGAGGGGCTCAGAAGCAGGGTTATGAAGAGGGGAAATGCAGAAGGCCCAGATCCAGGGGCTGATTCCCAGGGAGGCGCCTGGCCCAGTCTTGCAATAGAAAGTCAGGGTCAGTGACCCCCAAGACCCAGGCAACGGGTCACAAGTGACAGCTCCTGCCTCCAAGAGGCTCCGCCTTCCTTCTCCAAGCTGCCCTGCCCACCCCTAGGGACTCTGGGACCCAGAGTTGGCCACAAAACTGAGCAAATTTTCCCACGCCCAGTGCCATTTAGAAAGTTGTGGCCATTGCTCTGAAAAATAAATCCTAAAACCATTAGTTATGGTCCTTTATTACTTTTAGTCTAGACTTGAAAATAGGCTCTCAGCACTCATGGGGAGTTTAGTGAGTGCCAGACACGGTGCCCTGTCTGAGCTCGCTCAGCCCAGCAGCACCCACCACACTCCCCCATCTCCCGAGGGGCTGCACTCAGAGGGTCCGAGCTCTGTGCTGCATAAACTCAGAACTTCCCATTTGGGACCTCAGGTGTAAAACCAGGACAGTTCACAAAACAGAGAGGCTGAGAGGGGGTGGTCAGCACCAGGAGAGCAGTGATGGGGGGATGGCAATTCCAGGCTCCTATTCTGTTTTTACTAGTAAATCATATACCATTCACTGTGGTCAAAGACAGTGATGAAAATTGGATTTTTTGTTATTCCCTATTGGACATGAATCTGAGATAGTGAAGGATGGGGAGCCTGGAGTCCTGCAGTCCATGGGGTCACAAAGACTCGGACATGACTTAGCGACTGAACAACAACAAATTGAATCAAAAACAGTGATATCAAAGTCAAAATCTTCTGCAAGAGAGTCAACAATAGATTTTTTAAGTGAACAGTACCCCTTTCTCAGTGCACAGTGCCAATCCTGTACTCCTGCATGTTCACGCCAGAGGCCCCTTGATTAAGGTTCTCATGGGCCCCTTGGCCCCCACTGTTCCCTTCCTTTCCCGGTCTCCCTGTTACCACATGTCTGTCATCAGTAGTCACGCAGACATTTACTGTGCCCGTCACAGCCTCTGTCACTTGGGGAAGCTGCTGCCCTGGTCAGTCTGAGCTCAGAAACAACAGAAGAGAGGCTTGTCCAGTGGCTGTGCTGAGCACGAGGGGTCTTTGTAGGAATGTCCCATCCATGGACCGCTTCTCCTGACTGAGTGAGCCACATCCATGAACGAGCTCCACCTCGTTCCCCCTGGCGGTGTGCATCGGGGCTGTGCACAGAGCGAGTGTGAAATCCTATGGCCAGAGTGGTGGGAGAGGCCTCCCAGGCCCCAGCCTGTTGGAGGTCAGCCTGTGCAGGCAGCTGTGCTCCTGCAGAATCATTCAGAGGCTGTGGCAGCTGTCGGCACCTTTTCCCACAATGAGGGTGGAAGGATAAGGTGATGGGAGTTTTTGTAAATGCTCCCTGGAAGGTATTTTGTCTGTAGTAGTCGCCTGAGGAGCAAGGCCACACGCACACACAAGTGAGAGGTCAGCTTCCTCCAGCTCCATCACACTGCAAACAGGAACCACAGTCCCTGTGGAAAGGAGGCTGGGGCCGTGCCGCCTCCCATTACGAATGAGGTGTCGGGCACAGCAAGCCAGCACTTGTCCATAAGCATGGACGTGGGGCACACAAGAGAAACTGACCTTTACTCTGAACCTTCGTTTCAAGTCTCTCTTCTGTGATTTGAATGTCATATAAAACTCATTCCCTTTAAATAATGGTGTCCATCAAGAAACTGTTTTCCAGTGGCTGTTCTTGTATTTAAATTTTTCATAACTAGAGGGACTTCCTAACTAGGGGCTGGCCGCTCAGGTGACATGTGATCACAGCTTGTTTGAAATCCTGTTTTACTCCCTGTCATTGAATAAGCATTTTCTTTTCAACAGACCAATTGTCCAGCTTCCCCCAAGTAAGGATGCAGTGGTATGTGGCTGTCTTCCTCATCCAGGCCTGCAAGGAAGTCCTGCCCCTTTCTAACTTTTCCTTTCAGAAAGATCTAGCCTCCAAAGGTGAAACTGATCAAGCCTGTTCACCACCTGGAATTTCTGAATCTCGGGCTCCTCAGCAAATAACAAAACCAGAACTTCCCATAATCCCAGCTCTTTTAAGTGTCCACCCCCAATGCATGCTTAGGTCATCAGAAGAGGGAGCTATCCCAAAAGCACCGCCCCCCCTCCACCTCCCCTCCCAAGCACACAGTGGCAGCTCCTTGTTATTAAAACAGCTCCTGTTTCTCTTTCCCAGGAGTTTCATTCAATAGTGTTTACACTCAAATTTGGAGAGTCTTGCTGCATCTGGCTGCGGACCCCTATCCAGATGTTTCTGACTTGGCTATGAAAGTGCTCAACAGCATTGCCTACAAGGTACGTGTGAAGGGCGCTCTTCACAAAGCTCTCAAGACCCTGGTTTTCAGTTATGAATATTCATGCAGAGAACTCCAGGCACGATCAGGTCTTCACCATGGTTTAGAAACTTCAAACAAGCGTTTTGAATCCAGAGGTTCACAAACTCCATGTGCATGTAGCTTGTGTTGGGGCATGTGTCACTGCTTCTGCTTACCCACATCAGGGCAGCAGATCAGGTGGGGACTTCTGTGTGACCTGTAGCGACGTCCTCTCTTCCATTCCCAGCACCGTTATTGTGCAACTTCCCTTATTCACGACCATTCTGACGAAAGGAAACTCTTCCAAGAACCAACTTTTGGTTGCATTAGTACAGTTGACTCCTGAACAAACACAGGGGTTAGGGGCACCAACCCTGACCCCCTGCAGCCTTTCTTATCCACATCTCCGCATCCTTGGATTGTATCCTACCACAGTGGGTGTTTATTGAAAAACATATGTGTTTAAGTGGACCTGTGCAGTTCAAATCCATGCTGTCTGAGGGTCAGCTGTGTTTCTCTGTTGTTTTTCATTCTCCATTGTATTGATACCAGCTTTTAGCTTTGTTGTGTCATTTCTTCTGCTTACTCTGTTCAATTTTCTCTTCTGATTCTAGTTTCTTACGATGGAAGCTTAGGTCATTGATTTTAGTCCTTTCTTCTTTAGGGACTGTAAACTCTCCCAGTTCTTTTGAGCTCTGGGAATTGACTTTTCAGTGGTTTTTTTCCCCACCCTTATGGGTTTTCATCCCACCCTCAAGCAAAAAGTAATCACAGATTCAAGGAGCCTACCCTATAGACCCTGGAAGCCCTCTCCTCTCTGCCCTGCAGATTCCATCCACCCCAGCGTCCATGCTGCAACATTTTTCTACACTGGTGAAGTTTTGTCTTTTCCAAGCTGTCTTTTCCTTTTCTTGTCTGGCTGCTATTTCACCTCCTGGTAGCATCACAAGTAGTAATAACACAGCCTTGTCATGTACCCAGTTTTAAACTGCTGTAGCAACCAAGCTCATCTTCTTCCTTGAAGGAGCAGTGAGGATATTGCAGGAGCACATCCTAGGTTTATCCCCAGTCTGTGGTCACACACGTGGCTTTCTCTGGAAGCAGAGACTCCCAGGTCCACAGTGTTCACTACACTTCCTGCCTGTGGGCACTGCCAGCCTCATGCAAAAGTGCTGGGCATTACTGTTGGCCCTCTCGGGATCACTGGGTGGTTTGTTTCACACGGACCTCCCCTTGACCCCAGTGAGCCCCTTGCCTACTTTCTTCATCATCCTACTGCATGACTAGCTACAGAGGCACCTGAATGCTGTTCCATCCTCAGGGAGTGGGGAGTCTTCTCCATGTCTATAGAAAAGAGGCCAGTGAATTAAGTTTTTTCGTTCTGTAATACAAAACTGAGAAATAGTCCAATCATCTCCTTTTTCAACTAAGAATAGGATTGATTGAAAATTAAACTTTTCTAAAATACATGTTTGTTACAGCATATTAGGGTCCATGCCCAAGAAAGGGAGGAAGTACAGTCTTGAGGAAGGAAATAGAGGAAAGGAAGGCAGTCCCAGCAAAAGGCATAGTGGGACTCAAGTGGGCATCTGTGAAAATGAAGCCTCCCCGCTGTGCCCAGTCCTGACCTCACTGATGCTGGTTCTCCTCACTGCAAGGCCGAGGATTGAAGGAGCCCAGGCCTGCAGGAGTGGGGCCCTGCCAACTACCGGCCAGTTCATCACAGTCACCACCACTGCTTGAAGTGAATTCTACCTGGGATTTCTTAGAGTCCAAAAAGAAAATTTACATTATTTATCTAGGAAGTTTGGTTTACAGAAAAATTCCTTTCTAGATAAATAGAGTCATGTGTTTCATAGATCTCCACTCTCAGTGCTCCAGCATCCCGGTCCTCTGCCTCAAGTTAGCCCAGAATTAACTGTGAACCATCCTTTGAGAAGTCTCTTCCAGTCTCTTCCAATCACTTCCAGTCACTTCACACACAAATCCAGATCCTTGGTGTGCAGTTAACAGGGACTTCTCTGAAACATTCCCTCCCCCAAGAGAGAGCAGCCAAAAGCCTCCGTTGGTGTCCTAAAGCCTGACTGTGTCAGGATCCAGTTGGGAAACTCTTGTCCATGTCACCCTCGTCTCTGTAGGGTGTTTGCCCTGAATTAGACTTTCCCGAGTTCTTGTGAGGCAACATGTTTCTGGGAGAAGATCTGCAGAGTAAGAAAGTGCTCAGAGCTGGAGACAAAGTAGGCTTCTTACTGCAGCCCAGGCTCCCATGACAGAGACCGCCCCCATTAATTGCAGGGGGGCAGGGAGCACAGGTGGGGCTGGCGTGTGCACACTTGTGTGTGTCCCTGCAAATTGTTTCTGTTTGCATTGGGCTAAGAGGATACATCTGAGCTAAAATCTGACTGTTAACAAGATGTTTGCGGCCCTCTGAAGAGTTGGCCTGTAGCCGTGACCACCACCTCCCACCACTGCCCTTCCTCTTCTGGACTCAGCACTTGCCTTGGGCCTTCATCAAGCCCATCTGCTGGTCCAGTGACTCCAGTGCAGCATCATAGAAGGGAAAATGACAGGGCATCTCAACACCCTGAGACCCATGGGCAAGTATGCTCATGGTCGATGATGCTCCCAGCAGGGTCCTGAGGTCTCACAGACCCATGCTCCATCCTCCTTTGTAACAGCCCAAACCTGACACCCAGCAGGCACACCCGTGTTTCTGTGTCACCCTTTCCTGACTATATGCTGTCTGAAATGGCAACTGCGACCACCCCAGAAAGGAGCCTCTCTGGAGGGTATCTCCCACACCTGCTGCCTGAGCAGCCTCTGCCCACACCAGGCCCACAGACAGGTGGGTCTGTGTGACCACTACCCACTCAGGCTTACCGCTGCAGCTCTGCAGCAATGAATGTTTGCTGCACAAATAAGAAACTTTAGGCGAGGAAGCGTCATCTAAGCCTGAATCCCTACAATCGATCACCAGTCACAGGGCTTCCCCAGCCAGTGGCACGCCCACCTCTCAGGATTTCTAGAACAGATGCAAAACTAGAGATGTGTGCGGCAGCCATCAGTGTGAAGTGCATTGAAGAAGCACGGCTGTCTCTTTTGCCCTCAAGGCTGAGAGAGAACAAGCCAGGGTTGTGCCGCCTCCGCCCCTGGAAAGAGTGGGGAGGCTGAGTCAGTCACCCCCAGTCCACACCTTCTTTCCTTTGGAGCCTCCTTGGGTGGGAGCCTTCAGGGTGGGGGTCCCTGGGGAGATAGCTCCGTGGGCTGCAGCTTAGGCAACAGCAGATCCTCTGGGCTTGGGGAGCCTTTGAAAGGTCATGGATTCTGCTAAAGTCTGCATTTCAAGCCAAAGTCTTTCTCCATCACTTCCTACTGATTTCCTGGAAATTTTGAGAGGGCACCTAGTTTCTTAGTTTAAATTTCTTTTCTCCTTTTAGACCTCTTAAGGGATCATTTGGCTCTCAGGCTTTGTTGGGGTTTGTGTGTGTGTGTGTGTGTGTGTGTGTGGAGGTCAAATAATTTAAATACCAGAGCAAAACAAACATGAACAATACAACTTTTATAATTCAGAAAACAAAAAAACAGCCTTTTAATAGGCTGGTTATGATCCAGTTCTAGCTGTTTTCATTTCAAAGTGAAGGCTCATCTGGAAAACATTGATATTATATTGGTGGTTTTGTTTTCTATAATTTCTACCTGTGGGCTGAACATAGGTATGGCCTCCCTAACTGCCAAAAGAATAATCCAGCATGGGAGGGTCCTCCATGAGTAGCCAGTCCAGGGTTCTCCTGGAGCATGTGATCATGGGAGAGAGGGCACAGATATGGGTCTCATCTCTATTCACAAAGTGCTGACCCCAAGGGGTTGTTTTGAGCCTGCCCTGAAATACAAAAGAACAGTGAGGCTAAGCCTGTGTGGGCTCCTTCTGGCGTGCCAGCTCTGCCCAGGAAGCTGCTACGTCCAGGGGGGCTCCTGCCCCAGTGGGAGCCTGGGCGTGCCCAGTCCTCATTAGTCACGGTGCAGTTTTGTCACAGTGTTTGTCACATGGGTGCGTGGGCGCGGGGGGATGCATCCCTGGAGCCTCACTGGAACAGATGAATACCTTTCAGAAGAGCTATAGAATATCACTTTATCTACAGGGTGACATTTTGGGGGAAATTTTCAACTAGGACCGTCCATTCCTGTGAGATTTCCTCAGCCCAAAGCCCTTTTCTGTGACTTTGAAGCCACTCAAAGGCAGCCACCAACCTGTGCTTGTCTGGTAGCCTCAGATCGTCACAGTGACCACCCCCCTCACTGTCTCTTTGCTCCTTCAGGCCACAGTGAATGCCCGGCCTCAGCGCATCCTCACCACCTCCTCCCTCACACAGTCGGCGCCTGCCAGCCCCACCAACAAGGGCATCCACATCCACCAGGCGGGGTGAGTGGTGGGCAGCCTGCTCCCCAGGGTCTGGGGAGGTTCCTGACACAGCCTCCCCCACCCCTCCATCTGCAGATTCTCTCTCACTTATCTGAGCCCCTCCTAGAATCCTTTCCTACCTTCATCTGCACAACTGTTCAGCAAAAGCTGAACTGAACCTGACTCCGTTCAGGATTTTATCAGAGAGGGTCCATGTCTTCCAACAAGTGACCAGCAGGTTGGAACCCCCCCTCTTAATCAGTGTTCACAGGGCTGTGCACTGGATCCTAGGGGAGCACATGTGCCCTAAACCCTCCTAGGGCTGACTCACAGTCCTGACCAAGCTTGCCTCTGGCTGCACTGGTTTTCAGGGGAGGATGGTTCTTAGAACCTGTACTTAGAATGGTTCTTAGAAACTGGAAGGGGTCATTAATTCACCAGCAGCAGTTCAGGTTTGGAAGTCACACCAGCAAGTCAGGTGATTGAGACTGTTCCAAGCTGGTGACCCTCAGCCCATTCCCAGGATCTGGGGGTGAGTGGGACCAGCGGAAGTTGCTTGGGGTTTGACGTCCCAGGAATGGGCTCTGGCTCATAGTTTCTTCTTCCCCAACGGCAGAGGCTCCCCTCCAACATCCAGCGCAAGCAGCTCCAGCCTGACCAACGACGTGGCCAAGCAGCCGGTCAGCCGAGACCTGCCTCCAAGCCGGCCGGGCGCCACAGGCCCTGTGGGGGTGCAATACACGCCCCACTCCCACCAGTTCCCCCGGACACGGAAGATGTTCGACAAGGGCCCAGACCAGGTACAGATGTGGCTCTAAACACTAACTTCCATCAACATTCAGTTACACCCCATAGGTGGGTGTGGTCTCTGCAGCTAAGTTAAAGGAGTCTATTCAGGAGAGGGAGGAATTGGCGCCTTTGTTAGGATTGCCAGAAAACATACTAGGGTGGACTCACAAGCTGGGCCTTGTGTCTTGTCGAGACTGCTTGCTGCTGTCCTGGCCAAGCGGAGACAATGTAGAGAGGGCATTCTGGATACACCAAGGATGCATCTCAGCTCACCAGTGACCAGCGATTTTAACAGAAAGGTCACAGCAGCCTGCAGGCTGACTTTGGAGCTGGAGCAGGTGTTGAGGGTGGACAGGTGTCCACACCTGCTGCTAGCCCCACCCACCTGGCTTCGGAGCTGCCTGCTCCCCTCGCCTCAATGGCCAAGGAACAAAAATGGCCACAGGCACCCAGTGCCAGGTTTAGCCTCCCAGCTGGACTCTGCCTGAGTCAGCCAGGCAGGAGTGGCTGACCCACGATCCGTGAGTCCGGGTCCAGCAGAGCTGCAGTTCCCCTGGCAGGCGGGAGGTAAGACTTTATTGCTGACCCCATCTCTCTGGGTAGCAGAGACTCCTCTCTGAAGCACTTCTCATGCCCTGTCATGTGCAGTGAGGCCAACCCATGCTCCACCAGCCCAGCCCACATTGGTTCTACAACAGGGAACAAACTGGCCCACCACCCCACCACAGCACCAAGTATTTTCAGTTTTAGTGTTTAGAAGTCCCAGATGGCCCGAGCTCTGCTGCGCCCTTGTCCAGGAGCAGGGCCAAGGTCCTGCGTGTACGACTGGCCCAGTGGGAGCGACAGCCCAGGGACCAGGCGGCAGAGGGCCGTGGGGCTGCTCGACCCAGCGCTGAGGACCAGTGTCAGGCTCTGCAGCTCAGCCTACCTCGGCCGTCTCCAGGGGACTCTCCGCCTCTTTGTGCAAACTCAGAGCCCTGTCTTGACGGTCAGGCTTCCTTGGTCACCATGACGCATAAGTGAGGGGCCCACAGAGATACTGTCCTCAGAAACCTGACCACTGATGCCTATGCCTTGGTCTCCAGAGAGGGACTATCTCGAGCTCACAGAGAGGGTTGGGGTTGACATGACTAACTCTGTTTCTGTCTTCTCCTCTCCTTTTTTTCCAAACGCCCCAAAGACCACTGACGACCCAGATGATACTGCCGGACACAAAAGTTTCATCTCGGCCACGATGCAGACAGGGTTCTGCGACTGGAGTGCGCGGTACTTTGCCCAGCCTGTCATGAAGGTAGCTATGCGTCTTCAGCTCTTAGGATTTAAAGCCAGAATTCCCCAGCCTGCACTGCCCTCATCTCCTCAGCAAGCGAGCACGCGCCTCCAGAGCCCCAGTCTCAGGCCAGGGTGTCTGAACCCTTCTGCTCTGAGCTCAAGGTCTGATCCCCGCTGGCTTGCTCACTGTGACCCTCAGGGGCCGTGGCTCCCACCAGCCCACGCACTACTGTGCAGGCCTAGCCCTGAGCCATGGAGTGGGGCAGGCACAGGGCCCTGTCGTGCCCACTGGCCTCCTGTTCCACCGAGTGTGGCTGTTAAGGGGACACCAAACAGTGAGAGAAACTGGTTTCACTTACCTGCCTTTCTGAGCTTGCCAGTATAAAATGTGTCATTTTGTCTTGATTGGCAAGGTCACCAGGAGCCCCCCAGGCTTGAGCCGCTCCCGGCTTCAGGGACTGTCAGACTAAGCTAGCTAGCTAGGGCTAATCTGACTTATTCTGGGACACTGCCTTCCAGGTTTGATGACAGGACGTGTCCTTTCGCTGCAGACTCAGGGAGTCGGGGCGGGACAGGGCAGTGCTGTCAAACAGAATCTTGGTGCCCGTCTTTTTGCAGGGAGCACTGCAGGGGCTCATTTTAGACTTTGATGGTCTAAAGCACGTTCTTACCTTCCTCTCCCCTCATAGATAATGGAAAATTGAAAACTGCAGCTTATTCTTACTTGTATATTGAGCTATATATCCAAGAAATTTCCAGGGAGAGTGTTTGGACTGTATTACAGCTTTTTTCTTACTTTCCTGTTTCCCTGTAGTGATACTGGCTTTTGCCAATTACAACACAGAATAATGGTTGTCAGTGCCTGAGGCAGGTGATAAAGGAAAAACAGTCTCTCAGTAGCAAAAACTGGAATCCAAGTAAACATCCAGCAGGAGGAGAATGGTTAAAGAAGTCTGAAGTACTTGATACAATACTACTGGAGCTACTGAAAAATAAAGTTTTGAAATTAGTAGCTTAAGAAAATGCTCATAACAAAATTTCCTTAAAAGGGAAAAAAAAACAAGACATAAACTGGCCACGAGATGGCCAGAGTTTCCACACTTATCACACAGTACCTTTATAGTCTGGAGTTGGAAATGGTAACCCACTCCAGTATTCTTGCCTGGAAAATTCCATGGACAGAAGAGCCTGACAGGCTATAGTCCATGGGGTCACAAAGAGTTGGACACAACTGAGCGACTGAGAAAGCACCTTTATATCAGGGAAAAAATACATTAAAGAAATGATCCCAAGAGATCACTGAGGCCTGATACAGTCAACCAAGTGTGTTGTCCACACCTGGGTCAACCTGCTCCCACTGATCTCTCGGGCTTCTCTGGCTAAGGATGGAGAGAGTGGGCAAGCACGAATTTGTCCCAGGAGAGGGTTCGTTGCTGGTGCTATGGGTAGCAAGTCATCCTTTAGATCTGTGGCACATACTCTCTGCTTTGAAGTTAAGAGAGGTGAGTCTAGTCTAGTAGTAATAGTCACTCGGAATCTGTGATACAGTCTTCTGCTTCAGGCAAGTGTGGTAAAGCGACACAGACTCTAGGTGACTGGTCCACCATCTCACTGAAACTGCAGTGACTGTAAATCACAGAAGCTACTAGGTAGGACGCTGAGCAGCTGTTCTCAAAGTCTCTGGGCATGCCTATTCTCCATTCTGCCTATGGGAAGAAGTGGCATAGATAATCCAAAACGCGTTTTTCTTGAACGTAGAAACAAACTTGACTTTTCCCTAAGGATCTGCTTTTCTTTCCTCAGCATCAGGTACTTAGAACACAGGTGCCCGGCTCCTTGGGCGAGGGCTGCCATTTGTGGGGACCCCTACATATGTGTTTACGTGTTTCACTCAGATGCAGACCCACAGCCAGCATCTGCTCTGGGGCTGAGCCATGCCTCCCTTTTTTTCACCAAGTTCCCCTGTCTTTGTGCTCCTCTGTGTGTGTTCTAGCTGGGAGTGTGTCTGAGAATTCCCGCTGGGGAGGGTCCTGTGTGTCGCTAGCCTGGAGGAGACAGAGGCTATGAGCCCAGTGGTCTGTCCCAGTGCATCATGCTGACTCCCATAGTGGACCCTGCAGTGCAATGAGGGGAGAAGGGTCCCCGCAGGATGAAGTCACCTTTTACTGCAGAGCCCACGAGAGGAGCCAGGAAAACAGTTGCTGCATGCATGTTCTGTCTGACTCGCCATGTTTGCGATAACAAACTCCCATTGGATATAGCATGAAATGACAAGCTTGAGGTGTTATGATTGAAAATGAAGTTCTTACAGTGAGTTTTGTCTGTAATCCCTGTTGGCAGCTTAGCGTGCTTAGGACTCAAGTGATTTTTCTTTTACTTTAATTAGAGACCTTTTCCAAACTTTAGAAGAGGACATGTTTAATTTCATTGCTTTTTTAAAAAATTTTATTACTTTTTCCAGGTGGTATTCATAAGGGCCTTCTTTTATTAATTTAATTAATCATTGAATGACACATTTGTGCAATAAAATGCATTAGGAACTTTTTTATTACCCTGTTTCATATGCAAATTAAAGATAGCTCAAGGCTGGGATTGTACCTCAAAAAGGACAGAAGAACCCCAAACTCTAAATCATTTCAGAGGTAAGCATAGGAAACTATATTTTCACCAGATAACATAATTATGCCCAATATTTACAATCACGTGCAACTAATGGTTAGTGGGATTGAATACTCAAAACATGACTGTAATGATAGTTTTTGCTGACTTTTTATCAGTTCACAGTCAGATTTCTTACAGGTCTGTGTGACCAAAAAGAACTACATTCTGGACTATTCTTCGATTGATGGAACAGCCTCTCTCTTCGTTGGTTTGGTTTCCAGAGTTCATATCTTACTTTAGGAAGGATATTTAAAATGGTCTGTCATGTGCTTAAAAAGAAGAGGCATACTGAAATTTGTTCTGATTATAAAAATAATATGAATTTTTTTTTCATTCTCAAGTTGGTAAATTTCGAAGATTGATTTCTAGCAAGAGGATGGATTACCGGGGGGTATAGGGTGATAGAAAGTCTCACACACTATGGGTGCCTGGTGAAATACTAGCTTGGTATAGGGCAGTTCAGTAGTAGCTATCCAAGCTATAAATGGGTAGGTCCTAGAAACCAGCAGTTGGAGAAGGAAATGGCAACCCTCTCCAGTATTTTTGTCTGGAAAATTCCATGGACAGGAACCTGGTGGGCTACAGTCCATGGGACTGCAAAGTCAGACACAACTGAGCACAGCACAGAAACCAGCAATCCCACTCTGAGAAGCAGATCGTAAAACCGCTGCTGTACATGGATATGTAATAGCTTGTGTCAAGAAATGCTGTTACAGATTATTTGTAATAACAAAAAGTTTGAAAACAATAAAGAACATTCATAAGGAGACAGTTAAAAATGATTCATCTGTGTAGTAGACACAGACATTAGTCAGTGAGCTTCATCTCTGAGGCCTTGATGGGATGTCCTTGATATAGTATGTCAAATAACACGATGGTCCACAGATGTTGTGGTTCCATAGATTTGTGTTAGCGTCAAAAGAAGCTTAGAAGGTGACTCTTCATGTGGTAACTTCTAGGAGGTAGGACTGGAATCAGGGCAAGGGACTTTCCTTTTTACATTATATACTTCCAGCACTTTGAATTTTTTAAAAAGAACAATTGTTTCATAATTCAGGACAGATTAAAATATAACATTTAATTACAAAAAGAACTTTATAAAAAAATAAGAGTGAATACTTCTTGTACTTCCATTTCGTTGTACGGAGGCAGCATTACTCTGTTACCAAAACCAGTCAAAGACATTAAGAGAATAAATATCTACAAGTCAGTATTCTTCATGAACACGGACCCAAAATCCTTAACATAATATTCATAAATAAAATGCAGCAGTACATAAAATAGATTCTACACTGGTGACCAAGTGGATTCTATCCCAAGAATGCAGAGTTGATTCAGCACTTTTAAATTAATCCTATAACTGACTGGATCAACAGACTAAAGAAAAGCCATATGATCATCTCAGTAGCTGCAGAAAAAGGATTTGATGGAATTCAACAGCCATTCAAAAATAAAAACTCCTAGCCAACTAGGAATAGAAGGAAACTTCCTTACTCTTATACTGGGTGCCTACAGAAAACCTACAGTTAACATATTTTCACTGATAAAAGACAGTGCTTTTTCTCCAAAATCAGGTATAAGGCAAAGATGTCTGATCTTACTGTTCCCATTCAGCATCCTCCCAGAGGTCCTAGACAGTAAGGCAAGAAGAGAAAAGGTGTACACATGGGAAGGGTGAAATAAAACTCTATTCACAGACAATATTGTATGTATAGAAAACCCTAAGTAATCTGAAAGATGCTGCCAGAATAGCTGAGTTCAGTAAGATTGCAGGATACAAGGTCATTATACAAAAATCTGTTTATTTCTCTATGAACAATTGGAAATTACAATAACATCCCCCCCCAAAAAAAAATCATGGAGTACTTAACTTATCTACAAATCTAAAGAGAAAAAAAGCAAAATCCAAATGGTGAGAAATGAAAATCATTGATGAAAAAATTCAGAGAAGACTTAAATCAGTGAAGACCACATTCATGGGTTGAAAGACTATGAAGTTCAGATGTCAGTTCTCCCTAAACTGATGTATATAGAGCAATGCAGTCTGAATCCAAATCCCAATAGACCTTTTCTTTTTTTTAAATTTATTTATTTTTAATTGGAGGATAACTGCTTTACAATATTGTGTTGGTTTCTGCCATATATCAACATGAATCAGCCACAGGTCTACATATGTGCCCTCCCTCTTGGACCTCCCTCCTGGCTTTTTCTTTTTAATCAACAAGCCTATTCTACAATTTATGAGGAAAAGCAAAGAAACTAAAGTAACCAAAACAGTTTTGAAATAGAACAAAGTTGGAGGAGTTTTGCTGCCTGATTTCAAGATTCACCATAAAGTTAAATAATCAAGACATGGAATTGGTGAGAGGACAGACCCATGGATCAACGGGACAGAACAGAGTCCAGAAATAGAGTCACATCAGTACATCCCATTGATTTTCCATGGAAGTATGAGAACTCTTCAGTTCAATGAAAAGAAGGTGGGCTTTCCAGCAGAGTGGCACCATGGTAATTGGACACCCATTTGCCAAAGTAGAAATTCAATCACTCACTCACAACTTGTACAATAACTCACTCCTTAAATGTGAAGCTTGGAACCATGAAACTTCTGGAGGAAAATCTTTCTGACCTTAGGTTAGGCAGTAGTTTCTTCAATAAGGCACAAAGAGCACAGGCCACACAATAAAAAGTGGCAGATTGATCTTCACCAAAAATCAATATCTGCTTTTTGAATAGTCCTGTTAGGAACATGAAAGCATGAGCCACACACCAAAAGAAAATTAAAAAACACATATCTGATTTTTTAAAAAATCTGTATCCAGTATATATAAGGAATACTCAAAATTCCATAATAAGGAAAAAAGTGGCCCCGTTAAAAACAATGGGCTAAAGATCTGCAGACACTTTACCATAAAAAGTACCCAGGCAGCGAATAAGCTTGAGAAAAGATGTATAGTGTCACAGCAGTTATTCACAAGGGAAGTCGAGTTACCACAATGAAATAGATAACTGCACATCTGTTAGAAGGGCTAAAATTTTCAAATCTGTCAATACCAAGTACTGGCAAAGGATGCAGAGCAGCTGAAACTTTCATACTTTGCTGGTGCAAAGGCAGAGCATTGCAAGCACTTTGGGAACATTTGGCCCTTTCTCATAAATTAAACCCATACTTACCATAGAGCCCAGCAATCCTACTCCCAGATATTCACCCAGGAGAAATGAAAACTTCTGTTCATTCAAAAGCCTATACTTGAATATTTACAGTGGCTTTATTCATAATCACCAGGAACTGGTAACAACCCAGGTATCCTTCACCAGGTAAATAAACTGCTAGAATATTTCATATGATGAAATACTAATTCACCAAATGTTTTCTAAATAAACTGAAACATACAAACTATGGATGAATTTCAGCTGTGTTATGCTCAGTGAAAGAAGCCAGACTTAAACTGTATAGTTCATTTATACGGTATCTGGAAAAAGGTAAAACAAAGCTACAACGATGGAAAACAGAGGTGGTGCTGGGCTTGGACTGGGGGGAGAGCCAGACTACAGAGGGCATCTAGCAGTTTGGGGTGAAGGAACTATTCTTCATGTCCATTGTGCGTGTGACCATGGTGCTTGTCAGAACTCAGAATTGGGTCCCAAAGGGTGAGATTTACTGCATGTGAATTGCATCTCAGTCACCCTGATGCTTTGTGAAGTGTGGTCACGTGATAAAAATGCCTATATTTAGCTATCAGAACCTACAGTGAACTCTAATCTGCCCTTCAGAGCTGCTTCCTTAGCGGTCAGTGGCCTTCAGCTTTGTAACTCCACAGGTGTCGTGCCCAGAGGAGACCAGTCAGCCTGCAGCCAGGGCACTCCCTCCCAGCACTGCTGACTCCATCATTGTTTGGGGAGGATGGTTTGTTGTTAAACAAGGTCTCTGTCCCACCACAGAACTCACTTTGTTTCTGGTGGGAACCCAGGGAGCTCTCTGGTGGGGACTTCCATGACCTCACGAGCCTTCCAGAGGTCGAGCTCCAGTCTTGATAGTCGCGTGCCTGTTGTGTATATTATTCCATGCACTTGAACCCCTTTAAGTTCAGAGGCATTGAGGGTGTGCCCTGTGTTTCACAAATTCATCATATGAGGACCTGCTCACCTAGCAAGGCCCGCCATCAGGCTTCTGGGACCCTCTGGTCTTTCTCTGTTCCCGAGCCCAGGCTGCCCCAGTGACAGGTGAGAACAAGGGGGATGCTGTCACCAGCCTTCAGCTACCGGCTCCACGGGAGGCCTCAGGAGGTTTCAGCATCATAATTGGTTTCTGTCTGAGGAGAAGCCAGGTGTTAGGAATCCTCAGCGTGTTGTGATCCTAATGTTGTAACACTATTACCCTCACCCACCTCCCTCCAGCTCTGCCAGGAAGAAAGCTCAGCACGGTCTGGGTCTGGGCTTCTGTTTACTGGGAAGCTTCTATTCAACCTGCAGAGCCACGTGGGAAGGGGAGGGGCAGGGCAACTGAGCAGATGATAAAAGAAGGGCTGAGCAGGAAACAGTCTGGTCCCTCCGTCCATCCTCGTCCTTCCTGGCCGGCCGATGCCTGCTGCTTCTTGCAGCCTCTGCTCTCTCTCCCTCTCCTTGTCTCTCTCCACCCACACCTCCCACGCTGCCCCACTGCTGCCCGCCCCCGCTTGTCCTAGCGCTTCGCGGTGATTGTCCCCAGGACAGTATGTGCACTGGTTCCTGGACTGTGGTTCCGTTCAGTTCAGTGCTGCGAGTCCTTCTCTGAGCTCAGCGGGGCCACTCCCCAGAGCTCTGTGCTCTGCTGCTTAGGACTCAGCCCAGGGCAGTGATGCCCGGCTCTGCGGCAGAGGTCAGTCTCTCTGAGGCCCCAGGGCACATGTGGCCACACTCCCATGCACAGCTGCCTCCTGTCCCCCTTCCTTCCTCCTGCCTGCCCTCGCCACATGGAGAACTTCCTTTCTGTCTATCCTACTCCCTCCCTGCTCCTAGACCCTTCCTCTAAACCCACAGAAACCAGAGCTTCATTCTAGTTCTGTCTTTTCATCTAGAGGTTTTCTTATTATCACTCTATGTTATTGGTCATCTGTAATTTCTTTTCCAATAATCTCTGGATTGTCATGAAACAAAACCAACTGGTGAAAACCCACCATCTATCCCAAGTGCCTCTGTGGGGTTATGTCTACAACACTAACCGCTTTGGAGGCTCTAGGTGATTTTTCTTCTGTTGTCTCCGTGTCAGGATATCTTTGCTGTTTTGCTGGCTATGGGTTTGTGATTTTTAAGAGAAAAAAGACAGGATTGTAGCAGTGAAATCCTGGAACACAGACCCCTCTGGTCTGTGCGCAGGGATGAGATAAGGTTTAGCGTTGTTTGTTTGTGATCAGAGATAACACGGAGCATTTGAGAAGACACAAAAGTTCTCTGTGACCATTTCGTGTAATAACTGCCTAAAACGTGACCTAAACTGCTTCCCATCTTCTCAGCTACGCTTGCACACAGGCATGTACACGTGACCACGTTCACCATTCTTCATCCTGATGCTTTCTCCAGCAGAGAAGATGACTTGTAAAATATTGGTTATGGGTTCCCTCTGTCTGTGCTGTGTCACCTGGCTGAGTACTGAGTACAAGGCAGGTTAGCTCTCAGCCAAGAGGAAGTAGGGTTTTTCCTAGTTTATTTGATTCCTTTTATATTTGAGAACTTTACAGGTCTGAGTTCTCAAACAGGCAACCAGAGTTAGGCAAATTGACTGTATGATAAAGAAGATACATCATTTTTACACGACAAGTGATTATGTTCTGAATATAGTAAACTTAAATCCTAACTTATTGTTTGCTAAGTGTGGCCCTCTCCTAAACAGACCATAAGCACCACACCAGCCGTGAAGCAAAAAGGGCCTTTATCCAGGAAAGGGGACTATTCGAGCTTCCACATACTCCACATGCAAAAGCTGATGGGCAGAAGTTCCCAGGCATAGGTTCGAAGCTCCTTCCTCACTCTCCACCCACATGGAGTCTGATGCCAGCTTCACCCCTTTGCTGTGTTAGGTGGAGCCTGGCAGGCAGTGGCTCCTGCCCATCAGGGGCGAGAAGGCCCCGCCTTCAGGCCCAGCTGCCTCTCCAGCTCCACAGGGCAGCCTTGCCCTGGCTGCTGCCCCCTGTCACTTATGAGCTCGTTCATCTTCTAACCTCGTTTCCCTTTGCCATCAGAATAAAAGCAAACCTCTCTGAGCACACCGCATCTTTTCTGATTTTGCATTTAAGGGTACAAAGGAGTTAATCTAGTGTCTGGCACAGCGGAGCCCTTTATGTCCCCTCCTGCAGGAAATAGCCGGCCCTTATCCCTGCACTTCCGCCTCGAATTCTGTTTGCTTTGAAAGCAGCCCCCTCGCTGCCCTGTCAGAGTGTGACAGCTTCTGGCCTATACAGTTGGGCTGTCGGAGTCAGGGGCTTCCTAAGTCTCCGCCCTGCGTCCCTGAGCCAGCCAGCCCTCCCCCGGGTCCTGAGTCCCAGAACCTCCACACCCAGCAGCCAGCAGGGGGCAGTGCCCCCAGCACAGGGAGGGAAGCAGATCTGGGGGCTCAGCGACCACCCTCTGACTATCAGGGTCTGCTCTGACTGCTGTTGGGCACTGGACCGACCAGAGAACCAGGTTTCTTCTGTACCTGCGGAGGGGGAACCCTCTCATCTGGAAATACTTGTCTTAATTTTTTTTTTTTAATTGTTGAAGATTCCAGAAGAGCATGACCTGGAGAGTCAGATCCGAAAGGAGCGGGAGTGGCGGTTTCTGCGGAATACCCGCGTCCGGAAGCAGGCACAGCAGCTCATCCAGAAGGGTAAGGGGCGTCCCCAGGGGTCACTGTGGGCAGTGAGCCGGCCCCCACTTGCCCTGGTGCAGGCAAGGAATGACGCTGGCGGAGATGCTCCAGGGATGAAGGGGTGCCGCCATGGGGCACCACTCACCTGCCCGGGAAGGCCTGGTCCCCGGGCACTCTGTACCTTTGTCCCCAAGGAGACATGGAGGCTCTCTGGGATCATTGTCCAAGGAAGCTCCTCGCTGGCGGCCTCTGGGACAGTCGTGACTTCTACCTTTTGTCCAGAGAGAAAGGAGCAAGCCCTCTGCAGGCCCTGGGGTCCATGGTGGGGTGGCCTGTGTCCTCACCATGGGGACAGAAGACAAACATCAGGCCCTGGTTGTATTTGCCTGGACCCAACCTGGCCCCCAGATAATTGTTCCCTATTACCCCAGACCTGTTTATCAGTCACATTTTGACCAAACCTTTTACTAAATTTGCCAACAGGTGCTGTAACCGCCCACTTTGCTTGCCCCCCAGCCCCACCCCACCCCACCAGTGTGGGGACGTGGGCTGCTACAGGGAGGGCTGCTGGGCCGCGGGCCCCCCTTATGTCAGCTGCAGCAGCCCCCTATCCCCAGGCACTGAGGCAGGGTGGGAGACAGACTGTGGTTAGGACAGGGCCAGAGCACTGAGCAGCTGCCCCGCCCAGGGACGAGCCTTCTCCTCCCACTTCCCCAGCATACAGCCCCCAGGGCCCTGGAGCCAACTCAGCCCCACAGCTGTGGGTGGGCTGGTCTTCCAGCTCTGCCTGAGCCTTCATTGCTAGGCCAGCTTTGGGCAGTGGATGATGCTCCCTGGGTACTGCACAGAGTAGATAAGCAGGCTCCTCAGGCTTTTGTGGAATTATTTTCATGACCTTCTCTCCCTGTTCTGTCAAATTCCCTTGATTATTAAGGGTTACTTTTTTTTTTTAATTTTTAAAATTTATTTATTTGGCTGTGCCAGGTTTTACTTGCGTCAAACAGGATCTTTTTAGCTGTGGCGTGCAGCATGTGGGATCTAGTTCCCTGAACAGGGATCGAACCTGGCCCCCCCCCCCGCCCCCCGCCACATCGGGAGCATGGAGTTTTAGCCACTGAACCACCAGAGAAGTTTTTTGTATTATAGGTTACTTTTTAAGTTGAGGGTGCGGACCCATGAGACCATCCCTACCTGCAGGCAGCCTGGAGTCGGGATCTCATCCCTGGCCCCCTGCCCAGGCCTGGTGCCCCCTGAGCGCTTCCAGAGGCAATGCTGTTTCAGAAGCACTTCGAGTGCATTCACGGTGCTCTCAGTGAGGTGCTCGGGCCACAGTCCATTAATGCGCGGTCACTTCTGCTAAAACCAATCTTGGTTGTTTGTAACTCACCTCTGTGAAGGCGCATTCTAGATGTAAAGCCCCCAGGGATGTAGAATACAAAGTCTGCCAATTTTTCCAGGAGAGTTTGAGCCGCCCAGCTTGATAGGAGCTCTTTGAATTATGGTGTCAAGGACCTATTTTCTTGGAAGTCCGTGATTCTTTAGAACCCCGGGCCTACATAAGGGGACAGCAGGACAAATTGGTTTCCCTGTACCCACAGGCAGCCTGGGAGCCAGTCTGCTGCACACAGCGAACATCTGAAGGCAGTAAAGGCCACACTCTGGGCTGGTCTTCTTTTGGTCAACATTGCACAGGGAGTGAAGTTAGAGCCGGTCATTTGAGAACCAACCAGATTTTCCAGACAGAAAAGAAAAAAAATCATTTTTGTAAATTAGGGTCAGGGGTTCTCTTTTCCAGTCTTTGTGGGAAAAAGATCATCTTGTCTGACACACACCGAAAGGAACTGCTGAGCTGCTGGCAACCTTGGCAAGTGAGCTTGCAGGCAAGAGTCTCACCGCCGGCAGACGTGGGCAGAGAGGGCAGGGCCACTAGCAAGGCCATAGCCTCCTCCACTGCCTGTAGTGCTCAGAGCCTGGACTCTGTGAAGCAGTGGTTTCATCTGAGGCCAGCCGTGTGCTGGGAAGGATGTGAATCGTGGAATATCTCCTGCAGGCGCAGCAAAGTCATCAGACGAGTCCGTGAGGCCCCAGGAGACGAGCTGGGAGAGTTAATGCTGCCTCCCCTATCTATGACCCCTCCAGCGAGCCCCTGTGATGCAGCATCGTGCCCAGATCTGTGTGTGTGTGCAGAATGCCTGCAGTGACTCAGGACCTGAGTGTCCCCTCATCTTTCCTGGGTCAAATTACACCCCCTCCCTGGGGAACCCATGGCTGAGGAGGAGGGCACCTCTGGGCAACAGTTAAACCCTCCCGGACCTGTTTGCCTGTCAGTTTAACCCCATCCTGATGATTGAGTGGCTTTCAGTGTTAGCTATTTTAGCAAAAGGAGACGAAAAAGACTGAAATCGTGGGTGGCAGCAGCTTGCCCAGCCGGTACCAGGTTCACGAAGCATGGGCACCACAGTTGCTCTCTGTGTCACCCAAGACCAGCGGCCTCAGAGGGGGTAACCCCAGGGCTGCATGTCATGGGGGCTGCTTGCCCTCCACGATGGGCAGGAACCGGGGCCGCATGCCTGGCTCCTCCGCATGAGCCTGCATCCTTCAGCAGATACGTGTGTGAACCCATCTGATGCTCCCCACACTGGTATCCTCTTTTTGTTGTTCTTCTAGAACTCCTTCAGGGCCATAGCAGTTTTTCCCAGGTACCTGTGTTGGGGCCTGGGGAGCAGATCCCCATTCACGTCCTCTGTGTGACTCTTGATCAGCTGTCTTTCCATCATTTCAAGGTTCCCGCCTTTCCAGACTGGAGCCCCCTCCCTCTGCACAGGACTTTGGCTGGGTTGCAGACAGTGATGGCCAGACCAAAGCTTCAGTCTTGGGTCTAAGTTATGAATCGCCACCTTACTGAGCTTTATTCCAAAATCTTTGACATTATTTTCAGAAAACCTTAACCAGCATGCACTGATCTGAATATCACCAACGGGTTGTCGTAACCATGAGTCAAATGCCAGCCCTGTCTGAGCAGAGGCAGGGCCCTGCCATCAGGAGCCCACCTACACTCTGTCTCCTGCTTTCCTCTGGGCCCCTCCCAATCCCCCAGACAGGAGCGGCTGGTGTCAGCCTTTGTAAAACACATCATTGACATTTACTGCAAATCGAGGCCCATTGTCATGTGTTTCCCTCGGCAGGTATCACAAGGCTGGATGACCAGATATTTCTGAACAGGAACCCTGGCGTCCCCTCCGTGGTCAAGTTTCACCCCTTTACGCCCTGCGTGGCTGTTGCTGATAAAGACAGCATCTGGTACGGGGGCGCTTATGGGGCTGGCCTTTCAGCTGGAGAACAGGTAGCCCCAGAGGGTGTGGGCAGGATACCCCCTGCCCCCTCCGGGTGTGGAAGCTCCTCACCCCAAGCCTTTGGGCTGTGTCGGGGGTTGGGGCTAGAGAACTTGCCAGCAGATGCCTCTCCTCCTGATGCTGCCCACACACTCCCAGAGCTGCACTTGGCCACGTTACCACAGGCGCTCCAGAGGCCTGACCACGGTTACGTGTGGGCCAGGACAGGAGCTTCGGGCACTAAGATGGGGCTGTTCTTGTGCAATGAACAGAAAGCAGAGTGCACAGGGGCTCGTTAGGACCCCCCAGTGACAGGGCATGTGACGGACCCACTCAAGTGCAAGGGCCACAAGTGTGCAAAGGGAAAGCGTCAGTACCAAGACACCACTTTAACTCATAGCTACTGTTGCCCTTATGTCACTGAGAAAGCGCATACTTGATGGGAGAGGGCCATGGGGACGATTCTTTTTATAGCTGATAAAATGGACAGAGTTCTTACCTATTTCTTATTCTTCTCCTTTTTCATACATAACATAAAATTTACTGTCTTCTCCATTTTTAAGCTTGCAGTTTAGTGGCATTAAGTACTTTTACCTTGTTGTGCAGCCGTTACCACCATCCACCTCCAGGACTTTCTCATCACCCTAAACTGAAACTATGTCCCCATTAAACACTGACTCCCCCTCCCCACTCCCCAGGCCCAGCATCCACCACTCAACTTTCTGTCTCTAGGAATTTGTCTGTTCTGGGAACCTCAAATAAGTGGAATCATCTCGCATTTGTCCTTTTGTGACTGGCTTATTTCACTTAACATACCATCCTCAAGGTTCATCCATGTTATAGCAGGTGTCAGAACTTCCTTCCCTTTTAAGATGGAATAGTGGTCCATGTGTGTGGATCACATTTTGTTTCCTCCTTCATCCATCAATGGGCACTTGTGTTGCTTCCATCCTTTGGCTGTGATGAATGACACTGCTGTGACCTGGGTGCACATCTCTTAAATGTGTACACAGAGGCAGGATCCTGGACACATGGTACTTCAGTGTTCAGTTATCTTGAGGAACCGCTCTTGTTCTGCGTGACGGCTGCACCATCTTACATTCCTACCAGTAGGGCACAGGGTTCCAATTTGTCCACATTCTGATGACATTTGTCCTTCTCTGTGTGTTTGTTGGTGGTTTACCTGCTGGTATCAGGTGGTATTTCCTTGTGGCTTTCATCTGTACCTCCCTGATCACTCGCCATATTCCTCTCTTATTCCCTGAAGCTTTTGGGACTGGGAGAAAGGGGAGAAGCTGGATTATTTCCACAACGGAAACCCTCGGTACACAAGGGTCACAGCCATGGAGTATCTGAATGGCCAGGATTGCTCCCTCCTGCTCACAGCCACAGGTGAGTAGGGCTCCCATGGTGGGGGTCTGAACCCGGATGCAGAGGTGGCAGGGGACAGATGCAGGACCCCAGCACGAATGGACAGCAAGGCTTCTGTGACCTCAGTTGTTCTCTTTTGATAAAGGGGACCAACCAGTCCCAAATGAAGGCCACCATCATTAAAGGCACACCTAAGGGGAGAGGTCCTGCTGGCAGCCCTCCCAGGAAAATAGAGTCCAGCCCCAGCCCCAAGGCGGCCTCCCAGCAGGCCTCAAACAAAAAAAGAAAGACAAACCCCTGCAGTGGTGCGGGAGCCAGTAGGGTTTGCGGGGCATTTGATAACAGGTCACACTGAACCTATCTGAGCGCGAAGAGGAGGCAGAGAGGTGATTCCTTGGGAACAGCAGACATGGCAGAGGGACCAAGGGCCCTTTGGGAGTCAGGTCCCAGTGGGGAAGCAGCATAAGGCCTAAGTTCTAGAGCAGGGAGGCGTCACGTCTCGGCGGAGATCAGAGGCGGGTCAGCAGATGGCGGAGCCAGGGTCTCTGCTCGACATGAGTTCCCCATGTGTCCCCAGATGACCCTGAACTCCCTCTGCAGCTCAAGGCCAGGTTGTCCCCGAGGGGCTAGTGAGGCTAGAGAACAGGGTCCTGGGGGCAGCAACACCAGGAGGAAGGAAGGAAGGACATACAGACAGGCAGACAGGTGGTGGCCCACACTCAGGCCCACCTGGCTGCCCATCTGCCGGAGAACACTGGGACCTCTGCCCCCTCCTGGGGCTGGAGAGGCAGGGAGGGGCGTCCCACTGGACTCCTGAGTCGTGTGACAGGGTGGAGAGAGAGGCCCTGTCCCTCTGAGAGACCAGCTCTTCTTGGCAGATGATGCCCACAGGGGTGAGGGAAATCAGGGATGCTGAAGTGGGGCCTCCACCCTGAAGCCCCAGGTCAGGCCGGAAGGGGTCTCACACTGCCTATGTGTGGCTCCTCCCCAGATGAGAGAACCGTCTGCCCCTTGGGCTGCCTGGTGTGGGCCTGAGCAGCCTGTGTCCTCCGGCACCCCCAGGAAAGGGGCCTCCTGCCCTTCCCAGAGCAACCAGGCCTGCATTTTAATCTCCTGTCTCCTCTCCCCAAGATGACGGTGCCATCAGGGTCTGGAAGAACTTTGCTGATTTGGAAAAGAACCCGGAAATGGTGACGGCCTGGCAGGGACTCTCAGACATGCTGCCCACCACCCGAGGTGGGTGCTCCCGGGGTCCTGCAGGAGGTCGGTCCACTCGGAGCCCCTGAGTCCCAACCTAGCCAGCTTCCCTCTTGGGAGGCCCTGCTTGCAGCGAGGTGAAGGGGAGGGTGTGTGTGTGTGTGTGTCTTGCCGAGTTCTGAGCAGCCCGCAGCCCCTGTCCTTGGCTTGAAGCGTGTGTTGCTTGTGAGAGCGCGGGCACGGCGGGGCCTGGGGCTGCATCCTGTGCCCCTCATACCCAGAGTAATCCCCTCTCATGAGCACACGGTGGGCACCCTGGTAGTGTCTGGTCCTTGGGAGAGGCCAGTGCACCGCTTGCCTGCTCTGGGCTGAAGGAGGTGTGGCTGTGGTGTCCGCCGGACGCCATTCTGTGTGCTGCCTGTCGGTGGGACCCCATGGCCAGGGTGAGAGACGCCAGACCAGCTGCCAGTCTCTGGGTCCAGGCCCATTATCGGGAGGTCTGCACCCCTCAGCCTGGTGCTCGCTGTGCACACAGCATTTACGTGGCTGCTATCGGTCTGGATTTCCAGAGCCACCCTCCAGTGTGATCGCAAAGCCTGTGCCAGATGGAGGCAAGAGCGGCTTGCCGTTCATCACCCCACCCCCTCTGCCCACCTGGGGTCTCTGTGTGGCCTCCCCTGGTGATCAGGTGCTCACGTGACTACTTCTCTCTCCCCCATCTAAGCACCCTCAGGGGCACGGCCAGCTCCACGGCAGACACTTCTTTATATGTTAATTTTTTAAGTATTTTTACATTTTCTTCAGGGACAAAATAGTTTTGTATCAACCCCACAAGCCCCAACACAGCTGTTTTCTTGTTGCCTGGGCCCCTGTGAGCCCGGTCCTGTGCTCCCATGCATGACAGCTGCCATCACAGGGTCCCTCCATCTCTCTCTTGCTTTTTCCTCTCTGCCCTACAGCGCCCCGACCTTCCACCCACTCAGCCGCCAGCCCCACCCCAGGCCTGTGGTGAGGCTCCAGCAGAACAGGTGGCTGATGGCCTCCCTGTGGTCCTCAGGTGCTCACACTCACATTGCAGGATATGCTGGTCAAGATGAGTCGCTGTCTTCAGTCCTTAGCTTCGTGCTGCCATCCCAGCAGGCAGCCCATTCCAGGCTCCAGCATTTCACAGACCCCTGTGTAGGGAAGGCAGGAGCTGGTAGAGAGCAGGGTCAGGCTTCCGGCTAGGCCAGAGGATGGGAAGGAGGAGAGCCCACTGGTGGCCCAGTGAATATGCTGTTGTCTAGCCTTTTTCTTTTGCAACGGCCCACCTACCTGTAGCCCCCAAATACCTGCCACCCCCAAATGATGTATCTGTGGTTATTTGCCCACAGTGTCACTTGCCGTTGCTCCAGTGAAGGTGAGAGGAGCTGCCTGTTCAGGAGACAGCACGCAGGTGGGGTGATGGGGTCTAGCTGAGGTGACAGCAGTACAGCCCTGGGGCGCCCCTGCACTTGTCTCCCCCAGACATCACCTGTGGGGGGGGGGGGGCGCTCCTGGCCCAGGTGTGCGCTGCAACCCTTCCTTGAGAATGGGTTCCACTGGTGTAGACAGACGTGTTTCCTACGACTTCTTCCTGCTGGGCCCGCCCCCTTTCCTGGGTCTCAGAAATCTCCCATGACAGGCATTGTTGGTGAGGGCTGGTGAGGGTCTTGCCTCCAAGTCTTTGTCAGCAGGTGGGGTGAGGGGGGCTTTGGGCGGGCACTCCTCAGCGGCTAAGCCAGAGTTCGTTTGACCAGGCAGCAGTGGACTTAGCAAAAAGGAAAATGTTTCTTCCTTGTTCTTTCTGGAGGAGTGGAAAGTAGAAGGGGCAGGGCACCTGGGAGGCCAGCTGCTTTAAAGGGTCAGGACAGGAAGGGCTTGTGTGTTGTAGGGCCTGGGAGGGGCGCCCCGAGAACCAGGCACCCCTGCACCCGCCAGCCTCCACAGCTTCCCTCAGTAGCACAAGGACTGCAACCCCAGCAGGGCCAGAGAGATATAATTTCCATTTCAGGAGCTTAAGCTCAGTAACCAAGGGGTGAGGTTGATGGATTTCTGGCCCCTCTGCCAACTTCTGGGTGCCTTCTGCCCATTAGTACCTGCTTTCTTTCTCTTCACTCATCTTGGCCTCTGACTTGACAATCACAGAGCTGTTGCTCGTGATTCTGGGGGAAGAACTAGCAGCTTCTAAGGCCATTGCTTGTCAGTGTCTGGAGGCCCCCCTGCAGCGTGAGGCCCTTCAGAGTCCTGGTTGTGGTCCCCTGGGACCTTGTCAGGCAGAAGCAACAGCCACCACCCCCTGCTCCAGACACCCCCCTGGCCGATGTAAAACTCCCTGTGTTCCACAGGGAGGTCCTCCGCCTGGTCTCGGGTCCCAGGCAGCCTCGAACTGTGTAGGGGAGATAAGGTACCCTGAGGGGAGGGGCTGCCATCATCAACTCCTCCACATGCCTGTGACAAGGGATCCTACACAGCTCTGCACCCTGTGAGGCCCAGCCCACCATGTCCTTCAGTTCCAGAGGTCATAGGGGGTGTCATCTGTGAACACTGGCATGTAAGGCACATGGGATGGAGGACTTGGCGCTCCCTGAGTGGTGAGGAAACTCCCGCCTGTGAGGTTCTCCTGTATGCTCTCCAGCTCAGAATTCACTCACCGAGTCGCTGTCGTGGCAGCCTGTTTGCAAAGATCTGAACCAGTGGTTTGGGACTAAAGAGACTTGTTTCTTGCAGGAGCCCTAACCCCTGCCTTTTAGAAGTTGTGTGAAATGTGCAGGGTCTCCACGTCATCGTAGCATGCCCCTGGCTCACGTGTGTACATGTGTACCCAGGCATGGACACACATGCATGCATGTGCACATGTAAACACATATGCTCCTGTGCATGCATGTGCAGTTAGCCTGGGGACACTCCCCTCATGGGGATCCCCTACGGTCAGGAGGAACTGAAGTCAGTCTGGGTCATTGGCCATGCCCTGGAGCTGAGTGAGCCATGTTCTGAAATAGAACTGGTAGTGGTACCACCCATTGTCAGGCCAAGGTGTCCACAGTCACCTGGATACAAGCACCATTCTCCGGAGGCCTCCTCACTGACCTGAGGCCTCGTGAATGAAGAGCCGTCCTCACTCGGGACCTAGACAGAGGGTTGCCTCCGCTCTTGCGGCTGTGGCCAGTGGGTCAGCTCCTGCCAGTCGGGCCGCACTAACAGTGTGTGTGTCCGGCCACTAACTGCCACTCGCTGGAAGTGCCATGCATGTCAGGTCACGTTTTCCTTGAGTCTCAGCACCTTCTGATTTCCCATCTTGAGTCTTTTTTTAGCCAAAACCTCCAATTGTTGAGTTTTCACATTCGTAGGTACTTTGGCCCTTTTCTTCCAACTGCAGCCGTGGCCCGGGCCACTGTCTGCCCCTTCCTTCTGTTTCCTTCGTGGTGCTCCCTGACTCTTTGTGGTGTGTTTAATTCTGGCTGATTTGGCTTTGGCTGGCCGGCTTCCCCTTGCATCAAGCCCATAATCCCTGTTTCCTCGCAGGTCTGGCCCGAAAGGTCTCGATCTTTCTTGACCACAGTAAGCAGGGAGGTGAGTGCCTTCCCCTTATCTGTGAGGGCCGGGTGGGAGCCGGCTCCTCTGCTCTGCGCAGTGACATTCACTTGCCCACTGTGCTCTCAGGCGGCAGAGGGTCAGGCCTATGGTTTTTCTTATTCGCTCATCCGCATATGCTCCTCTGATACAAAAGACCTCACTAGTTGAGCATTCAGGTCTCATGGGATGAATGAAGTGGCTACGTGCAGTTCTGGAAAGAGACTCAGTGAAAGCCACAGACGGGACCATCCCTGGGAGCTGAGGCCTCGTGGGCGCGCCTCCCGGCCTCCTCAGTGGCCTCACTCTGGACTGGCTCTAGGACAGTTCAGTTCTGAGCTCCATGCCACCTTCACAGCAGCCTCGGAACGGGAGTAATCCCAGTCCACATCTGCTGGAGCGAGGGTGGCGCAGCTCTCAGGCTCCCGGGGAAGACGTCTCACAATTCCATTAGAACAGAGGTGTCATTCCAGAGTGGGATTTGTGTTCCCACCAAATTTTTCAAAAGAGAATACTTTCCAGAATTGAATGCAGAGTTTTTTTGAAGCATCTGTTTCCATCTGAAAATCCATGTATAAGTTTGATAGTTACCAAAACACCCATCTGTAGTTGCCTATGTATACACTGGGTTGGCAAACTTAAAATACACATGCTCGAAATGACTCCTTTTCTCTCCTAATTTCACTAGTGGGGTAAATTGTAAAGAGATGGAGCCTTATGGATCCTGGCAGCAGATAGAATTCTTGACCTTTAACTTGCAACATCTGAGTTTAGAGAATGACCAGCCCTGTGGTGAACTCTCCATCCTGGGTCTGTCTTTAGTTGCTCTCTCAATGACAAGGGTTCCTTGCAGGAAGGCAGTGGTGGCCACGGGTCTGACAGGGTCCCTCGTGCCATCAGAACTGGAAGGATGGAGAAGGGGGTCCCAGGAGGCTAAGAACAAGACGTCCTTACAAACGTACAAACTCAGTTTAATATTTTACAAAGGACTCTTCTAGTAAAAAGTTCAAAATGAAGGAAAAATTGAGAAAACCCAGGACTGACTCCATCGTCACTCCTCTGCTTTCCGCCAACAGCAACAGTAGTGGTGGTAACCAGAAGGGTTTCTCTCAGAAAGGGCCTCAGAGGAATGACAGGGTCACTTGCCCTGAATCCTGAAGAGAAACCAGAGGACACCTTTTTCAGCCTTTCCCTGGGGCACCTGGAGGAGAGTGGCCCTGACCCCTAGCTGTCGCCTGCATGGAAGCCAGCAGTGACCCCGGAGGGCAGGGAACAGATCATCCAGCACCGTGTGTGAACTGGACATGAACTTGGGCCTTGGTCAGTTGTTGGTATTCGTCGCCGGGAGCAGCTGGGCAGCGAGCAGGGCGCCAGCCACAGAGCGCTGGGATGGCCCGTGCGGTGGGAGGACCACAGCCGCCCTCCTCTCGCAGCTGCACGCCTCCTCTGGCGCCGCAGGCATCTGGGGTCAAATCTTAGCGGGCGGCCCTCTCAGTGCTGCAGGCAGGACGCAAGGCCGGGTGGTGGCTCCCGTGGGCCCGCAGGGCAGGCACACAGGCTCCGGGGAATGACAGTTCCCTCCTCACCCAGGACACGTGTGCCCAGCCCCACTGACGGGGAACACCCGCACTGGGTCTGCTCTGATCCTTCGCAGCTGCCTAGTGTCCTGGACCATCTCCCTAAGTGAGAAACAGAAGTTTAGGTAAATCATTTGCCCCTGAACAGCCCAGATTTCTGTTGCCAGCCCAGTCCTGAGCCTCTGAACCTGCCAGCTGTCTAGAAGTGTTCACAGGCCCTGAGTGGCCCTACCTCATGGGGAGGCACTGCATCTGCGTCCCCGGGGAGACAATGGGGGTCGCCATCCCTCAGGTCTGAGGTTTTCGCATGTGCTGGTGGGGTGGGGACTGGACCCTCCTCCTTGGAGTTCTAGAACCATCACTCCCAAGGGCATTTCAGGTTGGGGGTGATGGGTCCTTAGTCATAGGTCCACATAATGGGTCCTCAGAGGTCAGATCCCTGTGTTGGTTTTCAGGGGCCTATATCTTCCATGGGGGTCCTTCGAGGTCAGTCTGGACTGGCCACTGAACCTAGAGGGCTGATCATGGACATCACAGGGACCTAAGCCTCTGAAACCATGTGTTTCTTCTTCTCACTGCCTGCTTGGCATGGGTTCAGCTGGATGCTGGTCCCTGACTTACATGTTCGAGCTTGCTATTCTTCAACCCTCCCTGCGCCATGCACCTATATTTTAATGAAGAAATCCCCTCTTTGGCCTGCTTTTGGAGAGGAACATGTAAGCAGGGCTTGTATCCAGAATAAAGTCAGCCAAAAGTCTCTGCCTCCTGGCGAGGGCCACCCCACCCCTGGCTCCCGGGCAGTGAGAGCGATGTCACACTAGATGGACTGTGCTCTTGGGCACTCAGGATGCCCGCCTAGCAGGGGGGAGGCTGCAGCATGCATGCAGCCTCCATCCATTAGGCACCCTCTGTGACCTCAAGGCAGCAGCATGGACCAGGAGGAGGGACCCTCCGGAGGGGAGCCCAGAGCAGCCTGCCTGCTCCTGAAAAACAGGAAAGGCCCAGGGAACCAGGGGGCTGGGGCGCTCCCCACCACTGTCACTTCTCTGGGCATGGGGGAGGGGGGAACACTGCTGAGGCCGTGCTCCCCAGGAACGAAGTGATTGGAATCTGCACTCTAGTTTGAGATCATGATGTTCCTATCTTATGAGTTTTACTTAAATCACAGCCATCAATTTTGTTCCTTGTGCTCAACACGTCAAAGAAGAGTGTCACCTTTTTTATCATCTTTTCCCAACTCGTGATGAGTCAGATCATCTCTCCTCCGCTGTGTCTAGAGGTCGAGACACAGGCTTGGCTGGGAAAGGTCTCAAGGGGGAAAGCCAGTGACTGCATTCCAATCTGGGCTGGAGGACAGGCCAGGACTCCAGACCCTCAGGAGAATGAGGTGGGGGCCGGCAGGTGCAGGAAGGACTCTTCCTGGAGGTGGGTCAGGGTGTGAGCAGACTATTGTTTTTATCCCAACAGTTTTCACGTTGGTCTGAGGCTCTTCCACGGATAGGAGCTCACCGTCTTAGGAGACACAGCTTCCACACAGTCAGGTTCAGCTCAGAAAGCAGCCTTGCCCAGAACTGTCTGCACGTGCAGGGCACCTGCCTCCCCAACATGCACAGGCCTCGGGAAAACCCTAGGAAACCCATTTCTTATCTCTACTGGCTTCACCATGCTTTAGAACTAGTTTAAACCAGAATCTGAAGCTCGATGGTCCACATCAGAGAGTCCAGATTTGAAACAGGGCTCAGAACTCATGTGACCCATGTCCCAGATCCTCTGACGGCTGCACGGACACACCTTTCAGTGCCTCCTTGCAGATGGAGACACTGGGGCCTGGAATGGGAGCTATATCTCCCCAAATTCATGTGTTGGAGTCCTCACCCCCAGCACTCAGAGGGCAAATGTATTGCCCTTCAGTTGAAATGAAGTCACTGCGCTGGGCCCTAACACAGGGCAGGCTCCCACCGGCTCTGAATTTACCATGAAGGAGATGCAGCGAGAAGAAAGCTGCCACCACCTCATCTGAAGGCCAGGTGGGCCTTCTCACTCCTTCGGGAATGGCCACAGCCTCCTCTCTGTTTCCTGCAGAGGCTTGGGGCTGAGACCCCTCACAGTCCTTGTATGGTCCCCCCAGACTCTCTGCAACTTGTTTCCATGATCCCAAAGCATCCCAGATGTCACCTGGCCCCATGCTCTCAATGGAGGACCGCTCCTGAAAACCCCTCAGGGCCAACACGGAGCTCCCAGTAGACTGTTAAGCATGCCTGAGAACACAGGCCACCCCAGCAGTGGTCCACGGATTTAGGAGTCTGTGAGCCTCTGCAGTGACCTGGTGCCCAAAGTCTGGTCCTGGGTGGGTGCGTCTTCTGTGATTCATTCATGTAATGCCCACCAGGTACATCATGAGGGGAGGCAGTGGCCTGGTTTCAGGCTCTGCTTGTGGGCTGACTGGTTGCAGTGTGACCTGGGCTTTCCTGGACAGAAGTGGGGCTCACATGTCATACCGTTTCATCTGCCATGCCTGAAGCCTTGTCACCCGCAGAAACCTTTATGGTACTTTGGGGTGTTTCCTCCTGCCTGGGGTCAGGGGTGTTGCAGTGGAGAGACTGCATTCTAAAAGGTGAAACAAAGGCTGGTCCATTTGTTGTGTGGAGCTGACATTTCTGCAGAGTAGACACAAATGCCGCTGGCAAAACAGAAAGGACGGGGCAGGGTATGTGGGAAGTGATGCCTCTGGAACAAGGAGACGTTGTAGCCTCATGTGGTTGAGAAGCTGACTGAGCACAATATGGAGGGGCTATGTGGATGTCAGGAGAGGGGCGTTCCAGGCACAGGGTCCAATTAAGAGGACCAAGCTGGTCCCTTTTGGGCAGAATGGGAGACCAGTTGGGAGGCCACTGGGAGTTTCTGGAGCAAGGGTCAAGGGACTCAGATCTGAGCAGGAACCTGAAGTGATGTGTACAGATGAGAGTCTGGGGTTCAAGAGAGAGATTGGGCACTTGAAGTGAACTCTGTAGCCTGAAGGGGACATATCAGAAAAGAACAAATGAGAGTCACGCCCTCCAGCTCAGGAATTTGGGAGGAGTGGGCACCCACAGAGAGAGAAGGGGAAACCACAGAGACAAACACAGGAGCTGCTGCCACAAGAAGAGACAGATGTATGAAAAAGCACGGTGACTTCAGTTTAGACTTTGGTGTGACCAAAAGAAAACATACATGAAGTTATGTCAGTGACAGAATAGGAGAGGATATTTGCAGTATATGAGTTAAACCATCAGCGTCAGAATATATATTAAAACATATGCAGGGGCCTTCCCTGGTGACTCGGTAAAGAATCCACCTGCCAATGCAAGAGACACAGTTTCAAAGCTGACCCGGGAAGATCCCACATGCCTTGGAGCAACGAAGGCCATGCACCACAACTATTGAGCCTGTGCCCTCGAGCCCAGAACTGCAACTACAGAGCCTGCTTGCCACAACTACTGAAGCCCATATGGCCAAGAGCCTGTGCTCCACAACGACGGAAGCCCCCGCAGTGAGAAACCCATACGCTGCAGTTAGAGGAGCCCTGCTCTCCACTGCTAGAGAAAAGCCCGCACCACACCAAAGGCCCAGCACAGCCAAAAATATAAATAAATTAATTAAAATATTTTTTAAGAATTATTTAAATGTATGCAGGCTTCACACACCAATGCTGGCCAGGATTTAGGGAAACCATACCTTGTGTCCATCTCTGCTGAGACTGCAGGCCAGCACCCACTCTGGGAGTGGATGGCCATTCCTGGGGAGGCGCAAAGTGCAAATGGACATGTCCCCTTCCTGGTGCTGCCTTTGCCTCCTTGTGCACAGGGCGCATGGAAATGTCATCAGGATGGCGTGGCTTACAAACTCAGGGGGTCGCGGAAGTGAAGGGCTCATTTTCCAAGAGCGTGTTACCCACAAGTTTATACGAATTAGCCAGATCAGCATTCATAGGGTTGGGTGAAACCTCACCATATAACCTTACAGGAAAAACACAAGTTGCCAGAAAATATACTCTCAGTTGAAATTGGCAACTTTTGAGACGGGGATGCATTTCGTGGTTTTGGACACGTGGCCCTGCATTGGAATGCACAGAGACAGGCCCGGGAGGATGCCTGCAGCCTGGGGACAGTTCATCAGGGAAAGGGCGGGCACATGAGGCTTTCATTGTCTTAAATTTCATTTCTTTTCAAGAAAAGAAAAAGTAAAAATGACAAGATATTAGCAACTCTTAGACCTGAGTGGTGTGTTCAGGGATTTCTGTCGTGTTTTTTCTGTATGTTTGAAATACAATTAAACATTTTAAATTAAATCTTATTTTGGAGCCCCTCTTGGTCAGTGCTGCTCTTAGGGAGGCTGAAGGCTCTCACCGCCCCGCCCCCAGCCTGATTCACTCACCACTGACTGTCTGCGGTCAGGCCCCTGCCTCCATGAGGGGCAGCCACAGGCTGTTCACCCCCCAGGGGACTGAAGGACCCAGAGGACTCACACCTGTGGTCTCCGACACCCCTTCTCAAGTCTCCAGGCCTGCCAGTCATGCCCAGGTGTCCTGGAAGGTGGGCATCTTGGACAAACGGCCCTGAGATGCTGCTGTCCTTCTGGCAGGTGCCTGAAAACAGCAGAGATACGGAGAGGCTCTGAATCGTCACCCCAACCTCAAGCCTATGTGGGGTTGGGGACCCACCCTATGGGTCGGCACCAGCTGCTTGAGCAACTGCCCAGACCAGGCTCCCTTGGTGACACTGGTGCCCATCTGTATCTCTCCAGGAGCTGGGATGGTGGTAGACTGGGAGCAGGAGACCGGCCTCCTCATGAGCTCGGGAGACGTGCGGATCATCCGGATCTGGGACACGGACCGCGAGATGAAGGTGCAGGTGAGCACACCATCCCTCGCGGGGCTTCCCCGGGGGCACAGCGGGCCAGTGTGCACAGACCCCGCCTTCCTCCTCACCTCCGCTCACCCTCAAGGTTGAGGGCCAAGAATGAGGGTCTATGGAAGTGCTCTGAGCAGGCAGTGTCCCCAGAGGTGGGTACAGAGGAAAATAGGCCCAGTCAGGCTGCCTCCCATTTAAATGGATACAATGATTCAGTTTCTTTCCCTGTTGGATTTCTTCCTTGTGGAGCTGCAAACCTCTTCTGATTGGAAAAGCACTTTTCTTCCTCTTGGGGCCCATTTTTTTGTCTCCTGCTCTTTCCTGCTGAGCGTTCATCACACCTCCTGCCCTTCTCCAGCTTTTATAGCTGCCAGGAGGAGAGGCGAGGGGATGGTTTATGGGCGGCAGGATTCCTCCTGGACCCTTCCCTGAACTACTTAGGAGGTTTAAGAGGGAGCTGACAAGGATTCCTCCTACTGTAATGTGCTTCATCCTCCTCCTTAGGAGAGAGGGAGACGTTGGAAAGTTTAATGGGCGCAGAGGTGTTTGCAGCCCTGCCCTCTGGGCCGTAGGCCTTGGGGTCCTGGGCTGTAACTCAGGCAGATGGAGCCTGACTCCCTCTGGGCCCAGCTCCTCCGCCGCTGGCGCGGGTGGGGCCCTGACACCAGGGTGCTTGACGGGTCTGTGTCGGCCCTAGGACATCCCCACAGGTGCCGACAGCTGCGTGACGAGCCTGTCCTGCGACTCCCACCGTTCCCTCATCGTGGCCGGGCTCGGCGACGGTTCCATCCGTGTCTACGACAGGAGGATGGCACTCAGCGAATGGTAATTGGGCCTCGCCTACCCCTCCATCTCCTGGGCTCAGAGGGAGTGAGCCCCCAGGGCCAGCCGGTCACTCCCTCCAGAGCCACATCCCCCAGCGCGTGGAGGAGCACAGCTTCCCACCAGCCATGGACGGGCTATTCAGAACACAGGCTGAGGGGGAACGTCCTGGCAAGGCACTGCCTTCCCGGCCTCCATTCCTCCCTGAACACATGAGGCTACTGCCTCCCAGTTCAAACTCGTGAATAGCCAAGGAGATGGCGTTAGGGACACTGGACACTGCTGCGCTGGGCCACACACATTCACATGGTCACTCTGGGCACCGCCACTCTGCCCTGGGCTGAGGCCCCCAGGGGCCCTGCACCATGCCCCGTGTGGGCCAGTGAGCACGGAGGTCCAGATGCTGGTCACACACGGCTGGTAAATGACAGCACCACAGGAACGCAGGCCTGGGCTCCCGGGTGATGTCTACTGAACACCCACCTTGTCCCAGGGAATGGGGAGCAGCAGGTGGGCCCGTGTGCAGCCACAGGAGCCAGCGGAGTCCTCGGGGGAGGGGAATGGGAGGGGACAGGACAGGGGACAGGGCTGAGCTGGGCCCGAGCACCGGTGAACACCATTGGTAACACCAGCCGTGAGGGTGCAGGGCTGGGAGCAGCCGGGAGGACCCACATGGACCCAGGCAGCCAGCAGGGGCGCCAGCCAGTCTGGCGGGAGTTTGGGCCTGAGGCTTGGATGATGAGTGGGCCCCAGGCAGCCCCTGGCTTGCATGGTCCCTGCAGGTCTCTGCAGGTGGGTCCCCACCGAAAACCCACACTACCCACCAGAAGCAGCCATCATGGAAGTGGGGGAACAAGGTTCCTTTCTGGGATGATGCAAATATTCTAAAATTGTGTGATGGTCGCACAGCTGTAAGAACGTGTCAAATCAGTGAATACATGCTTACGGGAGACTCTTACTGTATGTGAATCAAATGTCAATCAGACTTATTGTAAGAAGCCTCCCTGGGCAGGCAGTAATCTGGCAAATTGACAAGAAGAGCCAAGGGTCACAGAGCAGCTGTGAGGGAGGGGCTGGGGTCTCCAGACCTCCTCCTGAGGTCTGAGGACAGAGACGCAGGGGCTCCCAGGCATGCCCGGGCAGAGACCTGTGTGTGCTGGGTGTGACTGTGTCCTGGACCCTTCCCAGGGGTCACACTCAGCCCACCTCCCCGTCACGTGCATCCCAATCCTGCTCCCAGTCACGGACTGCACCAGGCTTCCAGGAAAGCCCGTGTCCCTCTGTTTCAATAGCTTTACAGTCTGGAGTTCTCGGTCCCAGCCTTCAAACCCACAGGGAGATACAGTGTGAAGTGCTGGTAGGGGGGCTGGCAGTGCCCGGGGCCCCAAGAGGGCATGACAGCCACCCCGCCTCCAGAGGCCCCAGCGTGGCATGAGGTGCCCAGGAAGGGGCATGCCAGGAGTGCGAGGTCACTCAGTCACTCACGGTGAACATGAGACAGTGAGGGCTGACTTCACAGCATGGGCAGACTGTGGACACTTCACATAAACTCCTGGTTCCCTCTGCTGAAGAGAAAGTCCACTCTGCCTCGGAGCATCAGGGACGCCCACAGTTGTGCCCAGGCCCTGACCCTCCTTCCTCCCCTCCAGCCGCGTCATGACCTACCGGGAGCACACGGCCTGGGTGGTGAAGGCCTACCTCCAGAAGCACCCCGAGGGCAACATCATGAGTGTCAGGTAATGAGCGTGGAATATTCATGAGACATTTTGCTGTAAAAACATTATTTTCCCTCCATCTAAAATATGTCCTTGGTATTTAAACAGCTGGGAAATATGGCATTTCAAGGTAGTAATTAACTTCTGCTCTGGGACTGGCCAGAAAGGTCAGGGCCGGCACCAGGGCAGGGACAGCAGGTCCTCCCGCTGGAGAGCTTGGCCTGCAGGTATCCTGTGGGTGGCAGGAAAGGGGGTGAATGAGACAACCGGGGCATAGCCTTCCCGCGACAGCAGCATCTGCCGGGCATGTGCCAGGATCACCATGCGGATCCACCGTCTGCCCATAAATCCATTCCTGCTGCCTGGTAAATCCTGTGCTGAGAGCGGTGGATATTTATTTGCCTGTTAAAGGGACAGCAAATGTAATTTACTGTCACAAAGCCACCATTTCTCCAAAGAGATGCTCTTCCCTTGTTTGTAACGTGGAAACAGAACACAGCTCTCAAAATGGTGTCTGCCAGGCCCAGGGCAGGAAGAGGTGACCTCCCATCCTCCCCTCCCACCCGTCACCACATCCCCGCTACGTAAAATCTAATATCCGGCCGGAAATGAACAAATAACTCACAGCCTCCCCCAGGTCTTTGCTCACCCTGCTGTGTGCCTCAGCGGCTGGGCACTTTCTGACTCTAGGGAGGGTCCCCGGGGCTCAGCAGCAGGCCTGGCACCAGAGTCAGTGGGGTGGGCCCATGTGCCATCCAGGGGCCTCCCTGGACACTCTGAGGGTCCAGGGGACCATGGCCTTGAATAGCATGTGTGGATGGCCCCTGATTGCACGTGGTGCATCCTGGGGCCCCGGTATGCCCACCCAGCATCACCACAAGCCCCTCCCGCAGCGTCAATGGGGACGTGCGCTTCTTTGACCCTCGGCTGCCGGAGTCTGTGAACGTCCTACAGATCGTGAAGGGGCTGACGGCGCTTGACATCCACCCCCAGGCAAACCTGATTGCGTGGTAAGTGCTGCCTCTTCTCTGCCCCCTGCCCTGCCCAGCTGGCTCCCAGGGCCCGGTGTAAACAGCAGGCACCACGACCCACCCCCAAACCTGTGGAGGAGAGCTGGGTGGAGGGACTGTGGGGCCCCTTTGCTGCTCCTCACCTGCCTGGCCTCATGGCCCTTGAAGCTCAAGCCCCCTTGTGGGGGTGACCAGAGAGGAGCCCCCTCTCCCTGTGGACACGCCCACCTCCCCGCGCTGACCGCCAGGCCTTCTTGTGTGCAGCGGCTCCATGAACCAGTTCACCGCCATCTACAATGGCAGCGGAGAGCTGATCAACCACATCAAGTACTACGACGGCTTCATGGGCCAGCGGGTCGGCGCCATCAGCTGCCTGGCCTTCCACCCACACTGGGTCTGTGTCTCTGCCCCCGTCCAAGGGCTGGGGGTTGGGGAGGTGCGGGGAGGCGCTAGCAGCAGGCAGAGGCCCCTGCCCGGCACCACAGTCGGCCGCCCCAGGATCTCCAGGGGCCGTAGCCCCCAGACTGCACTCCCTCTGGAAGCAGCGTCAAGTTCTGTTACTCAGAGGAGACATGAAGTAGCCCCACTCTTTGTGAACCCTCTGGGCCCTGCACAGACCTCAGCCCCAGAGAGAACTCCCCTTGAAAAGTCTCCTGGGGTAGGAGCAGCCCAGACCCCATGACCCGGGTGATGGCACCGTCCTAAATTACAGTCAGCCATGTGGCTGAGGGCTGCCGTGTTGTAAATTAGGATTCTCCCACCTGCCTGCGTGTGGCACAAGGCTCCCCAGGAGCCTGGCGTGTGGCTCTCTGCCAAAATGTATGGCATGAGGTTCCCAGAGCTGTCCCTGGGGCGCCGTGCTGAAAAGAAAAACGTGGGCGGTGTGCGGAGCGGGCGGGTTCCCTGTGACAGGGCAGAGGTGAGGAATCTGCACCAGCTGTGTGGCCCAGGAGCCCATCATTTCCGCGCCGGCCTTGCGGGCGGAGTTGGGGTGACCAGGCCTGGCCTGCACCCCCCCGAGCTGCTCACCCCCGTTCTCTCCTCCCTCCCGCAGCCGCACCTGGCCGTGGGCAGCAACGACTACTACATCTCCGTGTACTCAGTGGAGAAGCGTGTCAGATAGCGGCCCCTCCCTGCAGGCCGCCATGTACATAGGGGACCCACCACGCTGCCCTGAACACTGGCCCGAACTGGCTGCTGAGGGCTCAAGAGGGCCCGCACTGTCTGTCTGTCTGTCTTCGCTGTCATGCCCAGGAGCCCAGAGAAGGGGGCTCTGCTGGAGTCCTTGGTGTGACGGTCGCTGCTCTGCTGAGACACGGCTCCCGGACTGAGGACACGGTCACTGTACGTTCCAGTCTCCGCCTGTCCTGTTGTCATCTGAGGTTTTTAAGGGGGTAACACACTTGTTTTCTTTTCCAAGTGATGCAAGCATTAGTCCCCAAACCAGACGGAAGCCAGCTCCTGGGGCTGCGTGCCCCCCAGCGTGGGCTTCTGGGGTGGTCTGAGGCCGCTGGCTGAGGTGGAGGCCTGAGACTGAGCGAAGGACAGATGGAGGTGGCCTGCCACCTGCTGGTCATCACCCCAGGCCGTCTGGCCACACCCCAGAGCCCGAGTGCACCCATCCCCACAGGCAGGCCTTCCTTCTGAGTGTCGGCAGGAGGGGCTCTGGTTTCGAAGGAGAGGCAGGTCCCTTGGGCCACGGGGCTTGTTTCTCTCAAGTGCTGCTCTTCCCCGGCCGGTGCAGGGAACCGTGGCCTCCCCACCCGTGCCCCGCACTCATCACATGAGCACACGTGGAGGGGCTGCCCAGCCTCGAGTGTCTAGGGGTGAACAGCGCCGCCCCAACCTTCTGTCCCCACACACGTGGGGGCAACTCACACCTGCAAGGGACACAGGAGGACTCCCGGGTGGGTGGCAGCTTCACGCGTGTCCGCTGCACGCACGTGTCTGTGGCGGGGCGCTGAGCAGCCACGTCTGGAACGCAAGACACAACCACAATGATGATATTCTAAAAATCATATTTTCCATTTTCCTTGGGAATCAGGATTATTCAGAGAGAGGAGTGAGCTGGCTTAGTTAACTCTGCCAGTAAGAGGCCAATAATAGTGGGAATGTGAGGAAGAGTCGTGCTGTGGACCTGGGTGGGCTGGACAGGGCTCGGGGCTGGGCCAGGGGCTGGCCGTGACTGCTCCCCCAAGAAGGTTCCAGCACGGTATCTACTGTGTGCTGGGTGAGTGAGCGGCGTGCGGGTGGGGAAGGCCGCAGAAAGCTCACCTCACCCAGTGCTCCAGACACGGCGACTTGGGAACCTTCCAGAAGCTGAGCTCCACCCACAGATGCCAAGCTGACTGCCCACAGCCGATTTCACAGAGCAGTTCCACTCCACATTTTGAGCTCACGTGTGGTTCTGTTTGTTTTGAGACAAAACTATCCCCAGGCCAAGCGCGGGGGCCCCAGTGGGGCTGTCTTCACAGGTCTGATGCGAAAATTCAATCATGAAGTTACAGAGGCTCGAGAGAGTGTGACCTAAGGGTTCATTTATCTCTATTTATTTTATCAAAATGAGAATTGAAAGACTTTGACGAAACATGGAATTGTAACACAAAAAGCGAGAAGGATAAACTGTTAATAAAAGATAAATATGCAGAGGGCTGGCTGGAGGCGCTGTCCTTTAAGGCAAGTCCTCCATGTCCTCGGGGCTCCAGGCACAAGGTGGTGCTTCCCGGCCCTTGGCCCCCTTGGGCACAGCCCCAGCCCTGTGGCTTGGACAGTTGGCCCAAGAGAAGGCCCTAGATTTGGGGTCACCCCACTCTGCTTGTGGGAATCCCTCTGCCACTTCCTGTGTCCTTTTTACTTACCACCTACAGTTAGAAGCCAGAAGGCTGCGTCTGGGTTGTTGGGGATCCGTCTTCCCTCCCTCATCCTGTGGCTTGGGGACCCTGACTCCTTCCTCAGCCAGCATCCCCTCTGATCCCAGCCTGTGACCCCTCGGGCCCACCTCATGGTCCAGGGCTGGCTCCCTGTGGGGGCCGGAGCCCATGTTCCTGCTGACACGCCAGCAGGCCTGAGGGGTCCCAGCCCCTTACATGCACCTCACGCCTGAGGGGTCCCAACCCCTTAAATGCACCTCACGCCTTTGGGGTCCCCGCCCCTTAAATGCACCTCACACCTGAGGGGTCTCAGCCCCTTAAATGCATCTCATGCCTTAGGGGTCCCACTCCCTAGAAGCAGCTTGGGTCCCAGGTCTTGTCACCCTCATAACAGGAAATGGGGCCCAGGCATGAAGTAACTCACCCAGAGTCACACCCACTGGGTGGGTGGTAGCAGGAACCGGGTCCCACCTGGCATCCTGACCTCGTGGCCTCCAGATGGAACCTCACTTGGCAGACAGGGTGTGATGAGTGGGGAGGTGGGCAGCACTGGGAGCCAGCCATGCACACTGGCACCGAAGGAGCGACAGGAATTGAACTGGGTTCACTAGACTGGATGGGGTCGACCTGGCCAAGGACTAGAGACCAGCCCCTGAGGAGGCCAGGCAGGCTGTGACAGGGGCATAGTTGTGGGGGCACGCGGGGAAGAGAGGAGCCAGGACTCAGGAATGAGGCAGGCTAGCTGCCCCCTGGACCCAGACCAGTAAAGCCCCTATGTCAGCCCTCAGGGCAGCTGCAACGTCACCCCAAACATGTCAGCCAGGACAGACTCGCCCTCCTGGGCTTGGAGAGCCCCGCGCCAGACCTAGAACCAAGGAGTTGGCCCAGTTCCTGCTGGAGCTTCTCAGGGGAAATCACTTTTCCCCCTTTTCCAGCTTCTAGAATCTGCCCTCATCCCTTGGCTCGTGGCCCCTTCCTCCTTCTGAGCTGGCAGTGCAGCTGGAGTCTTTCTCACAGGGCATCACTCTGACTCAAACTCTGACCCCACCCCCCCCACTTTCAAGGACCCTGTGATGACACAGCCCCACTGAATGATCCAGGACAATCTCTCCACATCCGAGTTGCTGACTGGCAGCCTTAATCCCCTTTGCCACATGACCTAAGAGGTTCACAGCTCCCAGGATTAGGATGTGGGCCTCTTTGAGAGACTTGATTCTGCTGACCACTCTCTCTGTAAGTCCCTTACCAAGCAGAGCCCCCAGATGCCGGGGGTGGCCTAAGAGGAAGTCAGGGGGCACTGAAATGGGAAGGAAGACATCCATCCCTGTTCTCGAGGAGCAGGGAAGGGCCCCTGCTCTCCAGAGCTGTGCATTCCGGTCCAGCTGCCTCCACGTCCCTGGGAAGGCCCGCAGGGGGAGGCCCCGAGGCCTTGGCACGTGAGGGAGGCTGTGGGGAAGCGGGTGGATTCCCCAGTACAGCGCCCACTTCAAAGTGGGGAGGGGAACTATTGCCATGGAAACCTGGGGTCTGAGCAGCTGGAACTCCTGAATTAAATTACAGTTTGTTTTAAACAAGAAGGATACCCAGCACTTACTCAGCTGCACCCGGCACGCTTCAGCAGAGAGAGTAATATTTTTCCCATTAGCATCAGTTATTCTGTCACTGGGATTTGAATACAAATCAAGTGCTCATAAAAATGAAAGATGGGCATGTGGCTGGAGCTACCACCGGAGGGCGCCAGACCCAAGGCTACACCCTCCCCACACTGGCTCCGAAGGGCTGCAGTGAAGGGGCCAGAAAAGAGCCCACCGGCACCGCGGGGCTGGTGTCAGCTTGCCAGCCAGGAGCTAAGGATGACTGTCCTAGGTGGCCGTGCAGGGACAGCTGTCCAGCTGAGGAGAGAGAGGGTGGGGAGGTGTTATCTCATGAGGATGACCATCTCGGGGAGGCTGTGCTCTGTGGGTGCCTCCTGGCTCAGCGGCTTTCAGCACAGGACCACCTGAGACTTGGCCATAGGCTTGTCCTCAACCCCGTGCAGACGCCACGCTTCAGCACATAGGAGGCGCCAAGAATTCCCAGCAAAGGTGTGTTCACCTGGGCAACACACAGTCAAGCGCGTGCATGCAGGTGGGTGATAATGATTCAGTCTCAGGACGTGGGGCCTGCAGAACGAGTTTGGAAAAATGTAATTACAGACAAGGGCTGGGTGCACCATAAGGCCGTCTGGCCACTGTCTGCATTTTGGGGTTTCTACAGGGGTTCTCTGGGAAGAGGTCAGAGGGGTTGGCCTCTCAAGGTTGTTCTGCTTCTCGGGTTCAGTTATACAAGCTGGCTGAGGGTCCACGTGGCCCAAAAACTGGCCAGTGCCTCCTGGCCTGGGGCAGGTGAAGATGGGGTAGGACAAGAACAGGTGAGGGAAAGGGGAGACTAGAGGGAGGGTGGCAACTGGGATGGGCCCAGTAGTGTCCCCTAAAGGGACAGCCAGCAGGCACATCCTGAGACCCCCACCAGCCCCCAGGACCCCAGGGCTGACATGCAGCCATCAAGGGAGCCAGGGGCCAGCATAGGAAGCCGCAGCCCCAGGCCCACATGGGCCCAAAAGTGTGCAGCTGGGACGAGCAGCTGAGGATCAGGCATCCAAGTGAGGCGTCCAGTTCACCGACCCAGGGGCTGCCGCTGGGTAAAGGAGGAGAGGCCATGAAAGAGGAACTGAGGGGACAAGCCACCGCCCCAGTGTAGAGCAGGCCCAGGGGGTGGGGGCGGAACAGGGAGACGAGCGGGGCAGCTCCAGGTCCTGGGGCAGCAGGGCCCTCCCCCACACCTCTCCACACCAAATCCAAGACAAGGGGGCTCCCAGAGAGGCCCCCAACCATGAGGGAGGGACTGGAGGTGATGGGGGGCAGCCCAGAACTTGTCACCAATGCCCACAGTGCCCTGCTTTGCAAGAGGAATGGCCTGGAGGCTATTCTGTGAGGGAACCCAGCCACGTGTGGGACCCCCGCCCCTGCAGCCTATGGAGGGAGTGACCCCAGCTCCACAGGGAAGGTGGCAGCTGCCAGCAACAACCACAACCAAAGCCCAGGCAGAACCCACGTGGGGTTTCCTCTTTTTTGCTCTTTACTGGAACTTGTGCACTGGGGAAAGAAACAAATGACACACCAGCATTGAACAACTGGAAAAGGCAATTAACAGGCCAATTCCATTTACAAAAGCATCAAAAAGAATTAAATACCTAGGCATAAATGCAATAAAGGAGATGAGAGATTGTACACCAAACAACAAATCATTGCTAAAAGTAATTACAGAGGAACTGAATAAATAGAAAGACATTCTGTGTTCGTGGGTTGACTTAATATTATTAAATGGCAGTATTCCCCAAAGCAATCTACAGGTTCAATGCAGGTCCTAGAAGATCCTAAAGACCCTTTTGCAGAATTGGACAGATCAAATTTCAAACGCATATGGAATTACAAGGGTCCCCAAAACAACTTTGAAAGATAAAAAGTTGGAGTCTTTCTACTTCCCTGATTCAAACCTTAGTACCAAGTTACAGTAATCATTCTACAGTGGTTCTGTAGAACAGAATAGAGAGCCCCAGATAAACCCAGACATCTATGGGCAACTGGTTCTCAAACAAGGTGACAAAACCACTCAGTAGGGAAAGAAGAGTCTTTTAACAAATAATGCTGTGACAGCTGGATATTTACACACAAAAGGTGGACCCTTACCTCACACCACACACAAAAACTAACTCAGAGTCAATCAATGGCATAAATACAGGAGCTAAAACTTTAAAACTCCTAAGCGGGGGTTGGGGGGGGCAGGAAATACAGGTAAATTTTCATGACCTTGGCAACAGATTCTTAGATTTGACACAAGAAAAACTAGATAAACTGGACTTCATAAAAATGTCTTTTTGTGTATCAAAAGACATAAGAATGTAAAAAAAAATAATCTGCAGAAAAAGATTTCAGAGAAAATATTTGCAAGTCATATATTTGATAAGGGTTTAATATCCAGAGCTCAAAGAGCTCTCACAACTCACCAATCAAAGGACAAACAAACAGTTCAAAACTGGGCAAAGGACTTGAACAGACATTTCTCCAGAGAAGACGTTATAGAACCAAACTTGGGTCTGTTTCCTGCACACAGCAAAGTCGAATTATTGACACCAAGTAATGGTAAAGACAAGTGCAGCATTTATTGCAGGTGCCAAGCAGAGAATCCCAGGCAGCTAGTGTTTAAGAGGGCCAAACTCCCTGAAGGCTTTCAGGAAAAGGTTTTTAAAGACCGCGTGAGGGAGAGGGGTTGTGGGGTACATGATCAGCTCATGGACAGTCTTCTGATTGGTTGGTAGTGAGGTAACTGGGAGTCAACATCACCCATCTGGTTCCAGTGGGTCTGGTGTGTACATGCTTGTAGGCAGTATACAGTTAACTTCTTCCACCTAGCGGGCGTTTCAGTATCTGCAAAATAGCTCAAATGTGGCTTCTCCAAGCTAGGGCAGACCCATGGCAGATCCTCCCCGACCTCACAGGCTGTTCTTGGACCCACCTTCCTGCACCTCCCCCACCGATGCAAGGGGTAGACTTGCACCAGTGCTGGGTGTGGGCTGGGAAGGTGCTAGGATGCGGGATGCCGCCCCTACAGGATGAGGTGTCTGAGATGCTGAGGCGTGGGGTGACAGATGCTGGGGTACAAGAGGCTTGTGTCTGGGAGCAAGTACTCGGTGTGGAGTGCAGAGCGCAGGGTTCTAGGTGTGGGGGTGCCTGAGTGTCCAGTGCTGGGATGTGGAGTGCTTGGGGACGGGTACCCGTGCTGCAGCCCTGGGGAGCCAGCCCACATCCCTGGCCCGGGTGTTCTACGGCCGCCAGGTTGTCCTGCAGCGCCACCGCGTGGCCGCCGCGGGGATCGCCCTTACCCGGAAGCAGCTTGGCTGAGGGTCCGGCGCCAGGCTTCCAAGAAGGGTGGCCGCCCCCGCGGCCCTGCACTCCTCTCCCTGGCCCCGCAATTATCTGCTCTCAAGCCCTCAAGAGCTGTCTCAACCTCTGACCCGCCGCGACCCAGCGTCCCCACTCATGGGTCCCCCGAGGGTTACCAGCAGGCAAGCACTTTCTCCTCAGCCCTCCATGCAGCCCTCTGAGTTCCCGCCTTCCCCAGGACGTCCCCCCTCCCAGGACACCCGCCTAGCGGCTTCCACCGGCACTCACCTGGGCTGCCCCATCCTCTTTGCCCACGTAGCGTCCATGAAGCTGGTCCTACCAACACCTCATCTGTGTCTTCAGCACCATTTCCTGGGCTCACACCCAACGCCTGGGACTTGGCCTGAATCCTTCTGACTTCTTCCAGAAGATTCCTTGGCTAACCCCGTGTACTCTGCTGCTCTGTCACCGCCTCCTTGGTCTGACCCCCCAGGACCCCTAACCCTGGGGACCCTTGACCACGACCCTGATAGCTCTTAACATGCTGCACGTGTACCACTGACCAGCCCCCCACTTCATCCTCCCCGTGTGTCCTGGACCGACCAGGCATCGGAATGACTCATGTTCTCAAGTGAAGCTTTACCCCAGAACCCTGGTGTTAGTGGCCTCAAAAAGTGCCTGTTTTGGAGGAAATTCCCTCCATTCTGCCTGCGACCGCCCACCCTTCCCTCTACGGATTGGCTCCGGCGAGGAGATGACACCAGCAAGGCCACAGTTGATTGGCTTTTAGGGAACCAATCAGAGCCCTTATCTGGGAGTGACGCTTGGCAGTCTGGGAAGGTGGGCACCCAGCAGAGACTGATCGGTAGGCCTAGAAGTTGGAGACCGTGGATAGAGGAGGTGGATGGCGAATGCTGGCCACAGAGCGACGAGGGCCAAGGGGACCCGGATGGCTTCGTGCGCTAATCGTTCATGGCCGTTGGAGTTGGTGGAAGTTCCTGCCACGTTCTCCTTGGGCTGCCACCCCGCACCTGCAATACCCTGTTGACCCCTGTGCACACACGGCAGGCCAGCCCACAAGGCCACACATGCACGCCACCTGCTCCCTGGGTCTGCGCGTCAGGTAAGGGCTACCCCATTGTCACCTTCCCTAGAGGTCCTCCCATCGGGCTTCCAGGTTAGTTTCCTCCGGTAGGAAGTGTTCCAAGCTGTGGATGGTGACAGAGGTGCAGGGGTGGCTGACTGGGCCTTGGTAGTTGTGAGGCAGAATGGGGGCGGGGTGGGTGTCATTGTGCCCTGAGTTTCTTTTCAAGTCTAAGAAAGCTCCCAGTTCCCCAAGATCCAGTGTCCAGACCCCTGGCCTTCATTCCTGTTACCCTGTTTTTGAATCACTGATTCTCTGTAATAGATGCCTTCCTGCTTGAAATGACCAGAGAGGTGCCTGTTTACAGAGGTTCCCATGATGCATATTTAGGGCCAGAACTCAGTCCCAGAGAAAGACCGTGGAAGACAGAAACCCAAACTTGATTGTATGCAGTGATGATCTGATTATTGTGTCATAGACTGAACTGTGTGTCCCCCTAAAATTCAGATGTTGCAGTCCTAACCTCAAACACCTCAGAATATGCCCTGATTTCACAGAGGTGAACACGTTAAACTGAGGTTATTCATGTCAGTCCTGATCCAACAAGACTGGTGTTCTCATGTAAAGGGGAAATTTGGACACAGACAGGCACACAGGGAGGCCATATGAAGATGGAGGAAAAATCCGGTGATGCTTCTCCATGCTATGGCTTCCGACAACCAACAGAAGGTTGGAGATTGGGAGGCCAACCCTACCAACACCTTGAACTCAGACTTCCAGCCTGCAGACGGTGAGACAATACATTTCTGTTGCCTAAGAGGCCCAGCCTGTGGTAATTTGTCATGGCAGCCAGAGCAGACTATCACAGCCTGTGCCAAATAGGACACAGGTAGTGGAGGCATGCTGTAGCCACACACTTTTCTGTGATGACCTGGAAGGAAGCATTTCCTGAAAGCCAGATTCTGGGAGTCCAAGCAGTTGCAAAGCAACGTCCTGGGGGAAATCAGGGCTGTGGGGCACGCGAGTGATTTCTGACCACACTGGGAAGTTTTCATTTTTTAAAATGACAAGCAAGGGGCTTTAAATTCTCAATTAAAGATAGAGTCCGAAAAGCATAAAATGTGTAGAACTACCATAAAAGAAAATCTTTTTTTTTTTCATTAAAAAAATCTTATTTCTTGTAGCAGGACTGTTGTGTCTGGATATCATTCCCCCAGTTCTGTTCTGCAGGTTGTAGGATTACAACATAAATTGAATTCTCAGCCTCACCAGGTCAGTGTGAAAGAGTCAGATGGAGAGAGCTGAGTGGGCTGATCTTGACCCCCTCATAATCACGTCAAGCCTTGCCTGCCAGCAGAAGCAACCCTGTTCCCCATCTGAAGTGTCCTTCCCACCCCCTGCTCATGAAGACCCCCACCCCAAGCAGGTAGGGGGAGACCTGCTGAGAGGAGATTGATTCTCCTCAAGACCCCATCCAGTTACCCCATATTGCCTTCAGATCCATAACTGCAGTGAGAGCCCAGCTGACTCCAGGGAAGGTGGGCACACCCCAAGAATTCCAAGAAATTGCTGACTCACACTGGAGAGTCTTGGGGAGACCTCACAGGTGCGCATGGCAGCCAACACTGGGCGAACTGGACAGGGTATGAGCACCTGAGACTCTGGGCCCCACTGTTTTCTTTTATCTGTACTTGGACTTAGTATGGGCCAGCTGAGATACCAGGAATCCCTTGGCATAATACAGAGGAAGGACTTCAAGGGCTGGGACAGATAAGGACTTGATGTGAATTCATCAGGTGCAACTCACTCACTGAGCTCCTCGTGTCCTCAAGGCGCATGCACTGGGCAGAGGCCCCAAGAAATCCCCTGGTGAGGACCTCGGGTTCTTGAAAAGCCCTCCAAGGTCTGCAGGTCAGGGAAGACAGTAGAGTTGCTGCCATCAAAACAGGGGCCCTGATTTCTCCTGAGAACCAGGAGGCGCAAGGCTCAGGGCTCACATGGGCAGGTCACTGGAAAAGGCAGCAAACCCACACAGTAGTCACGATGCACGGTGCCAGAGAGCCCTTGACACTGGCCAACTGCAAAAGCTGGACAGTCTCAGAAAGCCTCAATGGATCATTAAGAAATGAGCCAGATCTGGGAGCCAGAGATCTGATGGGAAGGACCTTAGAAAAGAATCATGATCTCTCGCCCAGTTCCAGGACTGAACAGAAGGGAGAATGGGCTCCTCATGAAGGGGTCTATGTAGTACGCCTGGCAAACCTCCCCCCAGTGCCTGAACCATTGTGCCAGGTACCACTGCTGCCTAACAACTTCCGCCTGCCCCGGCCCTGCACTTAGGCAGAGTCAGCAGGGAAGGCTCATCTCTGCTCCATGGGACGCCAGCTGAGTGGCCCAGCTGATGGGGGATAAGAACTCCCCTAACAAGAAGGCGCATCTATCCAGAGAGCAAGGAATGCTGACTCCTCCCCACACAGCACTCTCCAGGGGCTGCTCCTGGAATAGACACTCTGGATATGGATTTGCCTCCGCCCACCCTAGGAGGCTTCTGCCAGCTGCACTGCTGTGGACTTGGAGGCCCTTAGTGGTGTCCATGTCCTGATCAAGGAGTTCATTTCACAGAGAGGGGTGAGCGCTGGGCATGTGCCATGGGACACCTCATCTTATGACCCCACCTGCCCAGGAGCTGCTGGGCTGCTAGAAAGGTGATGGGGCCCATGCAGACTGGGCTGCGGGCTCAGCCTGGGCGACCAAACCGGGCCAAGTACCGTGACTCCTCATGCCAACCAAGACACACGAGTGGAAGCCAGGGCTGCAGGTGTGGGTGGCACCCCAACCTATATCCCCAATGCCCCGTGGAGGCTTCTGCCGGGACCACGGAACCAGAAGATGGGCTCCCCTGGGGACTGGCCACCGGCCCTGGGGCACGCTGCCTAGTTGACATTTCAGTGGACACTAGAGATCAGGGTTGTAACATCACTAAACGCAGGATTTTGTGCATCCGAGCCGGCGGAGCAGTGATTTGTGAACAAGATCTCTCACCTTCCGGGAGACGGTCCACGCGGTCACCCTGCAGGGTTCCCACCGTAGTGGGAGATGGAACTTCTAGTCTTGAAGACCCCGCAGGTAGGGCCTTCTGGAAATGCACCTGAACCGCACAATTCAGGGTCCCTGAGCCCCGCCCACTGCAGGTCCAGCCCCTTCTCTGGGCGGGGCTTCCGTCCGCAGACGGCCGCGTTCCGCGTTCTGCGGCGGAAGGCCTCGCGCGGCCGCCGTAGCGGGGTGGGTTGGGCCCAGACTACGGTGGCCGTGTGGTACGGGGACCGGGTCCGACCGGGACAGGGCGGCGGGGCACGGGCCGGGCCGGCCGCCATGGGCAACCTGTTCGGCCGTAAGAAGCAGAGCCGGGTCACGGACCAGGACAAGGCCATCCTGGTAAGACGCCGGGCCCTGCAGGCGGGTGGGCGCGGGCCGGGAACGTACGGGGAAACCGAGGCTGGGCGGCGGCAGGCTGCCCTCTGCTTCCCCAAGGGTTCCAGTCCCTCTGGCCGCCCAGCCTTACGCCGGGGCTGCAGCTTTGGAAGCCCGTCTGGGGCGATGCGCAGTGGGCTCCCCTTGGGGAGCATGTCCGGGCCCGGTTCCCAGCGAGTCTGAGCGAATCCGGTCGCTGCGGGTGTAGGTGGTCCGGGTGTGGCTGAGCTGTGCTTCGGGAGGCGGGGCCCGGTTGTACTGTCTTGTGTTGTACCTTGTCCGTGGGTGAGTCCGCGCCTGCGGGTGGGGTTTCTAAACTCCAGCCCCACGGGAGGCCGCTTCCCAGACCCAGCCCCAGCCCGGTGTGGGCTCGGAGCCTGCGTGGCCGACTCAGGTGGGAGGTCGTGGGGAGGGAATGATATGACAGTGGGGCCTCATCGCTGCTCTCAGAACTGGGGGTCCAAGCAAGCTCTCTAATTGTGGGACGGTCGTGTTCTGTGTGCTTGGGACTCAGGCTGGACTCAACACCTGTCTCAGTCCTTGTCAAACTTACAACCTGTGCGGCCCCTGAGGAAGGAGCCATTGGCCCTGAGCTTGTGGGCTGCCCTTGTCTCCAGGCCACTCCTGGCCCTCGAAAGTTTTAGATGGTGATGTTTCTATGTTGCTACCTGTGGATTCGAGCGTCTCTTTCTGGAGAGCACTGATAGGAAAATTAGTTTCTAGAGAAAAAATTGTGTGGTGTTTCACACTTAACGTGAAATAACGTGTTGAGAATAACCCATTTTGGTAAGAAAAGTGTGTCAGGAAGGAGAGAGCCTAGAATGTGAGTGGAGTCTACCTTTGCTTTCTTTTCTAAATTTTCTGCAGGAAAACTATGTAATTTTTGGTACTAAGAAAGAAACTAACTCAGGTGGCAGGGTTTTTTTTGGGGGGGTGGTGGTTTTACTGTGGCTTACTGAAACCAGAAGTTATAAAACTTTTAAACTGAAGTTCCCCATGAAAAAAAGACCTGTTTTGTCAGGCCTGTTTGTCATTGGAGAAGATCAGCTGTCGTTGGGTTTTTATTGTGGGCAGGGCCCGGTCCCCCACATGTGCTGGCCTCCATCCTGGCCTTCTGGGCCTCTGGCTAAGCAGGAAGCCCCCGAAGCTCTCCTTTCTGTTGCCAAGGATACACGTCGGTGGGATTGTGACAGGAACAACTCAGTTGGCACAACACAGAACAAACTATTGCCTGATGTTTTCTGAGGATGAAAAGCTGAGCTGAGGAACTTTGAGCTGCCCCAGGACCTTCTACTGAGACTTCTTGTTTTACAAAGTGGGTGGCCTGGCCATACCTGCCTCCCTCTGGCTCCTGCCTGACACTTTGTCCACTGCCTGCAGGGTGGGTGCTCAGCCCCTATGGAAGAGAAGCAAGTCAGAGTTGGGCCCAACTGGTAGGCTGGCTATGGGGTGATATCTCATTGTCAGTGGACATCTCTCATGTCAGCGTGGACAGGACATGTCACCAGTCACAGAATGCATGGGGGCAGACGGCCTCTAAAAGGGAGCTATGGAGCGGCCGCTTTAGACCATGTCCATGCTGGGGGCTAATTTCTCACCATGTTCAGTCCAAAAGATGTGCACACCCTTGACTCACTTAACTCACTCCTGGTAACCAACCCTGAGGACGTCATCTTCCATCAGAGAAGTGCCCCATGCTTGTAGGTTCTCACCGTACCTGAAATGACGGAATTTGGAAGAAATGTAAATGACCTAAAATAGGGAAGGAGAGACCAAGGCGTGTAAATGGCCCTGCATCCTTTTTGGGACAGGACTCCAGGGTGCCAGGTGCTTGGTGAGGTCTTGTGAGCCCATCACCTCAGTGCGCTGTCTGTTGTCCACTCACGTGTAGCGGCAAGTGACAACAGTGGGGGAGCCGGTGGCAAATGGCTGAGATCCCCAGAGGAGTGAAGATGGAAGGGACGGCCCCTGTCTCCAGCTACAGCTAGACTGGGCTGGTGGCGCTCAGGTGACCCTCACCAATGATTTTGTGTCGTCTCTGCACCTTGGAGGTGGTGGCCACACTCCCTGACCAGTGCTCACACTCCTCACTGTCTGGGGTTGGGGGGATCTTGGGGGCTTGTAGCATATCAAGCCTCATCCTGGGCCTCCACCCCCTAGATGCCAGTGGCATCCCCAGTGGGCCAGCCAGGAATGTCTCCAGGGAGTGCACCACATGCCCTGGAGGACAGACTGGTCCCATGGAGAGCTCTGTTTCAGAGGATGCACTTCCATGGGTGGCAGCTGGGGCAGTCTGGCCTGTGGGGGGCCCTTCAGTGTCCCTGGCAGCCTCTGTGCCTGCTCTCCTGGGCACTAGGTAGCCCAGCGAGTGTCCAGCACTGCATGGGCCCGTGCCAATACAAGGCCTGCTCTCCCGACAGCAACTGAAGCAGCAGCGGGACAAGCTGAAGCAGTACCAGAAGAGGATCACCCAGCAGCTGGAGCGGGAGCGGGAGATCGCCCGGCAGCTCCTGCGTGACGGCAGGAAGGAGTGAGTGGGGTGGGGCCAGTGTGTGGGGAAGGAAGCCGTCCCCCGTCGGCCTAGAGCCGGGCGTGGGGTAGGCCCAGGAGGCTGGGCCAGGACATCCAATGGCCGTGACTGCTGGGTCCCCTTTGCAGACGGGCCAAGCTGCTGCTCAAGAAGAAGCGATACCGGGAGCAGCTCCTGGACAAGACGGAAAACCAGATCACCAGCCTGGAGACCATGGTAGGCCTGGTGGGGGTTGGGGGTGTGGGCCGTGTTGGCCAGAGGCCCCTCAGAGAACTGAAACCTACCATTTTCCTTTCCGGGACCCTCAGCCAGAGGCTATGGAATGGGTCAGGCTGGGAGGCAAAGGAGAAGCTTTACTGGGAGCCTGACAATCTTAATGGGCTGGGGCAGGTTGGCTACTGCAGTATTGTGGTTGGGGGACTAGGCCACTTCTGGGTGGTGGGGATGGGGGGGAGTCTGCCCCAGTTACTGAAGAGGTGTTGAGATTTGCAGGAGGCTCCCAAGTGACCTGGGGTCAGGGCGCAGAGCTCTGGTTGTGCTCATTTACTAACAGCTTTGCTGTTAAAAGCGGTCTGATTCGAGATTCCTCCCAGGCCCTCTCAGTCCCGCCCAACTGGTGGTCAGGGCACCAGGAAAGGACAGAGGGAAGAGGAGGGCAGAGACCGTCAGTCTTGGTGACAGTGTGGTCCTAACTCCCGTCGTGGGTCTGCGTGAGGCAGCAGAGAAGACGGGCCCCTGACCACCCAGGTCTCCTCCTCAGGTCCAGAGTATTGAGTTCACCCAGATTGAAATGAAAGTGATTGAGGGGCTGAAGATTGGAAATGAGTGTCTGAATAAAATGCACCAGGTAAGTCTTGGCGGGCTGGGGGCAGAGGAGGGGGAGCCTAGTGGACCAAGGAGAGGGCTTGTCCCTGAGGCCACAGCTGCACCCAGGCCGTTGGGCATGAGGGAAAGTCAGTCATTACCAGGAGAGGCTGACCGTCTTGTGAGACAGACAAACTCAGGAATATTGACCTGAAGACAGGGACCCCAGCTACAGCTTGGGTCCAGAGATTCTAAGCGTGACAGGAGGGATAGCCTCATCAGAGCCGGGGAGGGGTGTGGTGAACTAATCAGAGGACTTTCTGGAGAAGGTGAACACAGCCCTGTCTCAGGAAGCAGCACAGAGGTGGATGGTGAAAGGAGAAGTAAGGTGCAGAGAGGCCACGCCCCAGCCTCACCCCATCTCGTTCCCGATGAGTGGATGGCAGGTGGGGCTAGGCAGAGAGCTGAGGTTACATTGCCTTTCTGAATGTCCAGTGTGGGGACCATTCAAGCAAAGGTGTTGTTTTGAACCCAGAACAAATCAAGTGACGTGGCCAGAGAAAACTTTATACTTGTCGATCTGGGTGCCAGAAGGTCTGCTGAGAAGGGCCAGCAAGGGTCTGAGGAGGTCAATTGAGGCTTCTGAAAAGACTGGTCTAACAGCTCTGTGCCTATGTGGACAGGCCCTGCCGGGGACGTAAATAACCAAAGCTGTGTCATGTCCCACTCGGCATGGTTTCCTTTAAACGAGAGCAGAGAGGCAAGGCTGTGCGCGCTGCCCATGTGGGTGGGCTTCACCAAGGGGGTTCTGTCGCATGCTTCACTGACAAGACTCAAAAACTTGTAATCGATCAGGTGATGTCCATAGAAGAGGTGGAGCGGATACTGGACGAGACGCAAGAGGCCGTGGACTACCAGCGGGTAGGTGTTGCCGGGTCATGGGGCCCGCCATCTGGCAGCCAGTGAGTGTGGTGGCCAGTGGCCAGCCCTGCCCATGAGGACCAGGCCTTCCCACACCACACGGGGGCTGCCTGCTTTCTTTCAAGTGAGAGCGGCCTTGAGCCGGGGCCGTCTCCTTCCTCCGTGAGGGGGCACTGCCCCCAGTCCAGCCACACTCTTCACCTCTACTCCTCCTTTTGCAGCAAATAGATGAGCTGTTGGCAGGAAGCTTCACTCAGGAGGATGAAGATGCCATCCTGGAGGAGCTGGACGCCATCACTCAGGTAACAGGACCACCGGGACTGACAGAGGCTCCAGTGGAGGTACCCCTGGGAGGCCTCTGCTCACTGGCCTCGGCGAGCACATGCCTTGAGTTTCTCTCGAGCACACAGCTCTGGTTTTACAGCTGGTTGTCTTCCCTAAGACAACTGGCATTTGCTGTAAACCGAAGCCCCTTCTCCCCGCCCAGCTGACTGGCAGCAGGGTGGAACTGGCCTGGAAAGAAGGTTTTGCAGGTTGTCCACCAGGTGTGGCAAGGGTGGGAGTGAGCCAGCTGCACAGGGGGAAGGCTGACTCTCCTAGCCCGCTTGGCCACTGCCCCAGTGGGCAGTGATGCGGTTTAGATCAAACGGAGGCTCTTTCCCTCTTGCAGTGGGTCTCTCTCTGTCACTGCCATGTGTTGGCTTGGAGGCCTCTAACTGGCCAACCGTCTCTTCACATCCTGAGTCTGTGCTCCCTCACAGAGGGCGTCTCCATCTCTGGGGGCCCCTGCCTCAGCGAGCCACATTCATGCCATGCCCACCAGCCTGCCACCCCCCTGGCTATTGGCTACAGGAAAGCAGGTCCCGAGCGCTGCTGCTCGCTGCCTGAGGGGCCCCACGTGCACCTGCTCGCTGATTCGCTTCCTCCCGAGGCCCGAGAGGCAGACCCGTGCTCTGTGCTTCCACACCCAGGAACCACAGGTGCACCTGGGTGCCACCATGTCAAGCTGAGGCACCACCGTGGCCCCTGACCTGCATGGGCGCCTGTTGCAAAGCCCTAAGCCCAGACTCGGGACGGAACTCTGGGCAGGGAGCCCCTGAGGGTCCAGGTCATTGGGAGCAGCCACCTTTTGTGGCCACTGTGATCTGAGTGACAGAACTGCCAGAAGCCAAGGGTGTGCGTGCTACAGGCGTCATGTGCCGTTTAACTCCTGCTGAGAGCAGCTAAGTGGACGGAATGCTGTCCTTTCCGGGAGAAGGAAGAGGCAGGGGGGCGTGTCTCACAGCCTTTACTCTCTGTTTCTTGCAGGAACAGATGGAGCTGCCAGAGGTTCCTTCAGAGCCCCTTCCTGAGAAGATCCCAGGTACCCACTTTGTTAACGTCCTTTGGGGAACAGTGTGTTCTAGGGCAAAGCATGATATCCTGGACGCTGGGCCCTGCTCTTCCTCCTTGGTGAAGTTCGGGTCCCACCTCCCCGCTGGGTGCTTGCTGGCACCACCTCAGGCAGAGTGCGGGCCTCGCCCTGGGACTGGGCCCAGACTTCTGAGGGGTTTGGGTAGCCTCGAAAGAGCCGAACCCCATTCAGAGAAGTGAGTCCCAAAGCATCAGGAAAGGGCACATTTAGCTCTGCAGGCTCTTCTGGGTCCAGCTCAGGACCAGCCGTCCTTGATTCGTCACTGGGATGACCTTCCCCGGGGCATCGCTTAACACGCCTTCAGAAATCCTCCTTTGGCCCAGACTTGCCTTCGAGATTCCTCTTCGGCACGCTGCTCCTCGGCGCCTCTCCGGGCTCCGTGGGGGTGCACGCCCGCTGCTGCGCCGTCCTGAGTGCCCGCCTGCTCTCTGTCAGCCCCACCCCCCCCGGCTTCTGTGTATGCCTCGCCTTCCCCGGAGCTGCACCCATTCCTCCCAGAGCACCAAGCCGTGACCTGGCTCCTTGCCGCCTCTTGTCCTCTTCGGGAAGTTCCTACTTGTGGGGTGTTCTATACGTGACAGATGTCTCTCTGTTTCCTCCACAGAGAAAGTCCCAGTCAAAGCCAGGCCCAGGCAGGCCGAACTGGTGGCAGCCTCGTAACACGGCGCTCTTGCGTGGGACTCTCGGGGACTTCGGAGGACTGGGGCCCGCAGTTTGGGTGCGTGGCTAGCCCTGACCGGACTCCCAGGAGGCGGGCGCCGGGCCAGGCGGGCCAGGTGCTGACGGAGCGCACAGCACACATGGGGCTCCCGATCAGGTTGACTGTGGAGCGCTGCCCTGGCGCTGCTGTCCTGCTCTCATTTCTGGATTAAATGGCAACATTCAGATCCTGCAGCCAAACGCAGCTTCTGAAGCTGTGCTTCCCCCAGGCCGTGGCCAGGCCCGATGCTCCTGGTGCTGGTCACACCGCCCGACCCGGGTCGTAAGGCTCCGCGGGCCAGTGTCTCCACAGCGCTGTCTGCTCTTCTGGGCACCTCAGGCCTCCCCGCCCCACCCTTCCCCTTCTTCCTGCTGCGCTCATTAGCTCACGGGGGCTTTGGCTAAGGGGTCCTTGCCTCGGTCTGGCTCCCTGACATGCCCACTCTCCATGCAGATTTGGGGGTGAAAACCTCTCTGCTTCTGTGTTGGTGTTTTGGGGGTGGTGAATTAGGAGGGGCATGTGCCTGCTGGATTGCTGACTCTCGGAGCTCTGCCCCTCGCCCCCGCGGCCTTACCTCAAGGCCCAGTTCTGCCAGGATGGACATTCCAGGATGGCCAGCAGGTCCAGCCGGGGCTCCCCGAGCTGTCAGCAGCCAGGCGGAGACTGGGAAGGATGGAAATGACTTCCCTAGTTCATGATTCGTTTTGGAATTAAGACAATCTCCCTGAGGTTTCGCTCCCAACAAGAAAGCAAAGTGGACCCTCCTAGCCCCCAGACAGGCCAGCCCCATATTAAAGCTGACACCCATACAGCCTGCCGCCTCATGGACTGGGGTCTGTGGAAGGGCCTGGGGGGGTCAGTGTGGCTCCTGTCTCTGGTCCTGGCACACGGCCCCTTGACCCTCCCGGGACACTCGGGGGCACCTGGGTGGTCAGTGCCACATGGGGCCTGGGGATTCAGGAGCCGGTGCAGTTCTAGCCCTGCCCAGCTGTGGGTGGAGAGCAGGCTGGGGCTCCGGGCTCTGGCTGTCACCTCCGGGCAGCTGCCTGCAGCGAGGTGCAGGGTGGTACTCTGGCTCTTCCTCCCTTAGAAGGGACGCTGGTGGTCTCTCTTCTTTCAAGGGGAGAGACCCTTCGTGTCACTCCCATGGCAGGTAGCCAGGAGGTTGTGCAGTTTAGTGTCTCCAGGGTGACAGGGTCTGGGTTAGAGTCTTGTGTCTAGGGGGGTAGGCCAGATGCCCCAGGGAGCAAGAAGGCAACAGCAAGGAGGGAGAGGTGGGTGTTCCACCTCAGGGGACCTCCATGCCCTCCACCCAGAGGGCACAGTAGGATGCGGACAAGTTTTGAGGGGATAGTCTTGCTTCATGTGAAAGCACGTTTACCAGGTGCAGTGCATGCCTCAGCCAGGAGGGGGCTCTGCCAGCCAGTTCCAGGATTTTGCCAGGAGACTGGTTTGGCCAGTGCCAGTCTGTCGGGCCCCGCCCACTTGGTTTTGGAACTGCGGGGATCCTGCGGGCAGTTCTGATTGAGGAAGGGAAGCAGACCCTGCCCCTCCTGCCCCCAGTGACCTGTCCCTCTGCAGCAGTGGGTCCCAGGCCAGGGGAGGGTGTGCGAGGAGGGGCGGCCCCTCCAGACCACCCTCCCCCACCCCAGCAGGGTGGACCGCTTCCCTTTCCCTCTGCCTCCCAGTACCCGGAGCTCAGGGTGGTCTGTGAGGGCCGCCGTTGGTGCAATTCCCCATCTTCTTGACGTTTCATCCCTGGGGGCTGTGTGGTGGGCCTTTGGGCTCTGACCTCCTCCCCTGCCCCCCACCGGAGAGCGCTTGGAGAACTTGCCTGTGGGTGTGTGTGGCTCGGCTTCCTGGGAACCACTGGAAAGGTCATGACCAGCCTCCTCCTGGCCTGCACAAGAGGTCCCCTTGTCTGGAACAACCCAAGAGTTGGGGAGAGAAGCCCCATCCTTTCACCACCAACATGTAAGATGTCACATACCTATCAAACTGCCTTTTTCTTTGTAAAAATATATTGCGTGGACCCAGGGAGGCCCTGCTCTGAAACCCAGCTGACGCTGAGCTGACTCCAGGGTTCCAGCCTTGGAGTCGCCTGGCTCATAGGCACCCCCATGTATGTGTTGGGGCAGGGGGAGCCCCTGCTGCCAGGATGAGACACATCCTCCTGCCCAGCGCTGAGCCTTGGTCTTAAAACACCAACTTCATGACCCTGACCCAGCCTCCTAATCTGGGGGGCCTGGGACTCAAGATAATGACAAACCAGTCACAATCGGCTGCAAAATATGGGGGCAGAGCTGGTATCCTGCCCAAGATCAGTGGGGGCCTGGTGGGGGTCTTGGAGGAGGGGAGGCCAAAGTGAGCCACCCACGGAGGGCCAGAGAGCCGCTGTGCCTGGTGGGTGGGAGAGGTGTTAAGGGGGAGCCGTGGGGCTCATTTGACTACAAAGGGGACCTCCTAGGAAGCCGACAAGCTTGGCATCCAGAAACAGGACAGTAGGACAGTAGGGACAGGACAGACCCAGGCAGCGGGACTATTTGGCTGGAGGCACGTTTGTGATCAGGCAACATGGAAAGTAGAAAAGCAAGGGGTGGGGAATTAGGGGTCAGAGGGCACCTAGGGCTGGGTGGGGGTACTCCTGGGACAGGGTTGCCCTGACCCCTACCCACTGCTGCCCAATGGGATCTCCTGGTGCCCCCTGCCTGCCCATGGAGAGAACTTGGGGATGTCAGGTAGAGAATTGTCATGACAACACAGGGCCTTTGCCTTCCCAGGAGAGGCAAAGAGCCAGGTCACTATCAGCAGGAGACCCCACCATACTTTCCATCTCTGCTGGTGCTCGGCCACTGGGGTGGGGGCAGCAGGTGGAGCTGGGCCTGGGCCCAGGTGGACCTGGCCTTGTGGCCCCAGGCAAAGCCTCGACACCAGCTTTGGCCTCCTCTGTGGACACTTGCACCCCTTAGCTGGGACAGCTGCCACCTTGGCACATGCCTCACCCTTTCCACGATCCCCAGTATCCTTGAGGCCATGTGTCTAGGACACTCAGAAAGTGGAAACACTCTGAATCTTGCTTCCATTTTCCCCACCCCCTGAACCCCAACTTTACCGAGTGACTTCCCACACACAGCCCCGTCCCATCGCTGGTGCCCAGGCCTCACCAAGGACCAGGTCTCAGGCTGCGGGCTGGGGGGGCCTCCGGGGCTGCTCTCGCCACTCGTTACCTTGTTCCTGAGGAGTCCGGGAATGGTCTCGGAAGGAAGGTGTGTCCTTTTACACCTGTACCTGAGGGAGCCACACGCTGATCTAGGGAGGACATTTATTGGGTGTGAGGGCGTTGTCCTCTGGTCTGGTGTGTGGGGTAAGTGCTCCTTAAGAAACCAAAGTTCTGAAATGAACTCAGAAGAATAAGAGGGCAGGGAATGAGGACCGTGGAAGCTGTGCTGTGGATGGGAGGTGCTCGGCACTGTGACACGCGAAGAGTGAGCTGCACTTTTTGGGGTTTTTCTGGTAAAAGCTTCACTGAGTGTGCAGTTCAGTCATTTGTATTATGCTCCCAGAGTTGTGCAGCCATCATCACAGTCAGTTTTAGAACAGTCCTATCATCTCTAAGGAACTCTGTACCCTCTAACTAGTGCCATCTTCCCCGCTGTCCTCCCCCCAGCCCCTGGCAGCCACTGATCAGCTTTCTGTTCCTCTGAATTTGCCCATTCTGGACATTGCCCATAAATGGAGTCACATGATGAATGACCTTTAGTGTCTGGCTTCTTAATGTGATGTTTTTGAGGTTCATCCATGTTGTAGTATCAGTACTTCATTTCTTATTATGGTTGAATAATGTTCCATTGTGCATAGATGGACTACATCTTACCTGTACAGCACCTGATGAACATTTGCCTTGTTTCCATTTATTCACTTTTATGAATGATGCTCCTGTGAACACTTCTGTACACATTTTTGTGTAGACATGTTTTCATTTCTCTTGGGTGTAAACCTAGAGTGATTTCACTCTGGGTCATGTAATGACTCTTAACGTTTGGCCATTGGAGGAAGCAATGCATGTTTTCCTAAATGTCTGTACCACCTTTACCCCCAGCAGCAGATTTGAGGGCTCCACTTTGTCCACATCCTGCCCAGCCCTAGCTCATTCTTGTTTTTTTTTTCATCAAAGCCATCCTCAAGTGTTATCTCAGCATGGTTTTGATTTGTATTTTCATAATGACTGATGATGTTGAGTATCTTTTCTTGTGTTCAGTGGCCATTTGTACCTCTTCTTGGGAGAAATGTCTATTTAGATCTTTTTACCCAAATTTTAATTGGATTTGTTTTTTTATTATTGAGTTACAAGAGTTCTTTATATATTCTTTTTTCTTCCTGTACCATATTGCTCGTGGGACCTTAGTTCCCGACCAGTGATCAAGCCATGACAGTGAAACCTCACCTCTTAACCACTGGACCCCCAGGCATGTCCCTCTTTTATATATTCTTAATCCTACACTCTGATCAGATATAAGAGTTGCAAAAATTTTCTCCTGTCCGATGGGCTTTCTTTTTACATGTTTAATAGTATCCTTTCAAACACAAGTGTTTTTTAATCCTGATGAAATCCAGTTTTTTCTTTTGTTGCTTGGGCTTTTGGGGTCATATCTAAGATACCATTACCTAATCCAGGGTCATGAAGATTTATTTCTGTGTTTTCTTTTAAGAGTTAATTTTTTTTTCTTTTAAGAGTTTAATAGTTTAGCTCTTATACTTAGATCTTTGATTGATTTTGAGTTAAGTTTTGTATATGGTGTTTGGTTGGGAGTCCAACTTCATTCTTTTACACATGGATTTTTTTTATATATGAGTGGTTTTTTAAGAAGACGAACACATTTGTCTTCCTTTAATGTGGAAGTTGACTGATTCTTTTCCAATTATTTCAGTACCATTTGAAAAGACAGGTATTTCTCCCATTGAATCCTTGACACCTTTGTCAAATATCAGTTGACCAAACAGAGTTTTTTTTCCAGCCTCTCAATTCTATCCTATTTGTCTATGTCTATCATTATATCCTTATTGTAGCTTTGTAGTAAGTTTCAAAATTGATAAGTGTGAATCTTCTAACTTTGTTCTTTTTCAGAATTGGGTTTACTATTCTGGGTCCCTTGGATTTCCATATGAATTTTAAGATCAGCTTGTTAATTTCTGAAAAGAAGTCTGGTGAGATTCTGATGGGAATTTTTTTGGATCTGTACATCAGTTTGGGGAGTGCTGCCATCCTAGAAGTGTTAAGTCTTAAGATGCGTGAACACAGGTGTGTTTTCATTTATTCATTAATTCCTTTCAAAAACATTTTGTAGTTTTCAACACATAAGTTTTACACTTGTTAAATTTGTTATTTTATTCTTTTTGATGCTATTGTAAATAGAGTTTTTTTTCTTAATTTCAATTTCAGGTTATTCAGATTAACAACTGCATAAAAATACAAAGGGATTTTTTTTTTTTTTGTATGCTGAACTTGTATATTAGTTCTAGTAGATTTTTGGTGGAACCTTAGGATTTTCAGCATGCAAGATCATGTCATGACAAATAGAGATACTTTTACTTCTTCCGAACCTGGATGCCTTTTAGTTCACTTTCTTGCCTTAATTTTCCTGGCTGAGACCTCCAGGACAGTGTTGAAGAGAAATGGATGTCTTCATTTTATGTGTTTCTATTCCACTTCCATCCCCCCAAAAAAACAGGAAGAACAAAATCCTTACAAAATTTTGGAACAAAATCCAGCCCGTTTCTTTTTCCTTTCCTGATGGTTCCTTCCTACCTTTCTCTTTTCATCATCTCTTTTTTTTTTTGAGCCAGGCGGGGTCGTGGGGCTGACAGGCCAGGCCACACCTGCCCTACCTGGCCTTCACTGTACTCGTCTGTCTTCATGATGTCTCTGTGGACTCCGTCACGAAATGGGAGCTTGATGACGGCATCACTGCGAGTGGGTTTGCCGCCAGGCGGGCAGTGAGTGCTGCCTCCACAACAGCAGAGGGAAGAGATCTCCTGTGCTGTGACTCCACGCTGGGAGGGGCAGCAAGAGTGAGCAACACTCACAACGACGGCTCTGGTGGTAACCAAAGCCCTCTGACAATGTGTTAACAAAGGGCATGTGAAGTCCCATGAAGGCCAATGTGTGGGTTTATAGGCTAAAACCTTGTGGGGCGGTGAGGCATTTGAAGATCTGGGGACTTTGCCTGCGAACTCTGCAGGGGAACCGTGGGTGCAGCTGCTAAATCCTCGATGGACCCTTAGGTTTCACCAGCAGGGTATCTTAGTGGGCTGCCGCCGTCCCCTCCCCAGCTTGTTTGCCGTGCTGCCCGAGTCAGCAAGAAAAGACTAGATTCTGAATGTTCTGCTTAAGCAAAGTGCCCTGGAGAAGGGTAGAGACAGGTCTGATGCGTTTGCTGTGATGTCCCAGCCTCCTGAGTGCCGACCTGCTCATGTAATAGGCATCACCATAGCTGGGCTAGAGTCGTGGTGATCGGCATTTCCCAAGTGCTCACTGATTCCACAGGCAGATTGCGGCTGTCTGCAGGATTCCTCATGAGGAATGTGTCCTTCCTGGTGACATCTGCAGGCTGGGGGAGGGTCTCCATACGTCTTTCTTTATATATTGTCATCCTCATGTGTTTAAAGTGTTAGTCGCTCAGTCATGTCTGACTCTTTGCAACTCTACAGACTGTAGCCTGCCAGGCTCCTCTGTCCATGGAGTTCTCCAAGCAAGAATAATGGGCTGAGTTGCCATTCCCTTCAGGGGATCTTCCTGACCCAGGGATCAAACCCAGGTCTCCCACAGATTCTTTACCACCTGAGCCACCAAGCCATGTTTAAAAACAATATGTTTCTAAGTACAGTGTCACCTTAGTACTGTAGTTTCCCCTTACCTCACTTCTTAGGAAACATTTTTTTTAATAAATTATATAACATACTCATCTCATTTTCTCTCCGTAAGTTCCAAATCAGTAGCATTTAACACACGTTTAGCTGTAGATGGTGTAGAGAACACATTGGTCTGAACAAGGGCAAGTGGTCACTGCCTAATTCCAAGGGTGATGTCCTGGAGGAAAGTCCTGTTCTCCATGGACCGTTCATCTGACCCACTGAAGTGCATCACACACAGCTGTACCACCAGCTCAACAGACATGGGGACGTGGGAACCTGTGGCTCATCCTGCACCTGTTGCTCCGCCTGCCCTCAGTGTACTGGCGTGAAGGGAAGTGAGGGATAGCAAACGCTTTTTTTAAATTGAAGTGTAGTTGATTTACAGTATTGTGTTGGTTTGGTTTCAGGTGTATAGCAAAGTCATTTCAATATATGCGTATATATGTATTCTCTTTCAGAGTCTTTTACATTATATATTATTACAAGGTATTGAGTAGAGTTCCCTGTGCTATACAGTAGGACCTTGTTCTTATCTATTTTATATTTGTTGTTGTTCAGTTGCTCAGTTGTGTCTGACTCTTTTGTGACCCTATAGACTATAGCCCCCCAGGCTCTTCTGTCTATGGGATTTCCCAGGCAAGAATACTGGAGTGGATTGTCATTGTCTTCTCTTGTTTTATATATAGTAGTGTGTATATGTTAATCTCAAGCTCCTAATTTATCTCAGCCTGCCACTTCCTCTTCAGTAACCATAAGTTTGTTTTCTACCAACAAGTCTGTTTCTCTTTGGTAAAGAAGTTCATTTGTATTATTTTTTACATTCCAGATATAAGTGACATCATTTGACTGACTTTGTCTGACTTACTTCATTGAGGATGATAGTCTCTAGGTCCATCCATGTTGCTGCAAATGGCAGTATTTCATTTTTTTATAGCTGGGTAATATTCCATTTTGTGTGTGTGTGTGTGTATACTTTTATATATATATATATATTATATATTATATATATATATAATATATATATATTTATATAAAATCCCTAAGTTCATCCATGTTGCTGCAAATGGCAGTATTTTATTCTTTTTCTATAGCTGAGTAATATTCCATTTTATATATACACACACACACACACACACACACACCACATTTTCTTTACCCATTTATCTGCCAATGAACACTTAGGTTGC